TTCCGGAATTGCATACTGAAACTGAACTTTCATCTAGTTTTCTAGATTCGGGGAGAAAAAAAAATTTAGAACTCAAGCACCCACCAAAAGAAAAGGGAGGGGAAAAATAACATGTTACCTATGAATTGCTTATAAGAGTGAGTTTATTTTGGAGATTCCCATTGTAATTTGCAACAGAAATCCTTCAATTAGAGTTGAAATTTGAAGGCTGATAGGATTTGATCAATTATTTTGAGGATTGACAATGACATTTGAGGAGAATTGAAAAGAGAGGAAAAACAAAGTAAATAAGGAGGGAAATTGGGTGTGAAAAACAGTGATAAATCTTCATTTAAGGTCATGTGGCTTGCACAAGGGAGGGTTAACGCCTGAAAAGTTTTGGTCAACAACTAGAATCTGGATAAGGTGCCATCATACAACAAAAAGTATAATATAAGGTAGCTTACAGCATTATTAATATTAAGTAGTATTTCACAAAAACTGGTTTTTTTTAAGGTAGTTTCTCCCAAATTTTCCTAATAAGATATTCAAATAAAGGTGTATACATATATGTAGTGCTAAACAAAAGCAAAAGAATGAAAAGAATATTTGTGGATGACCAAGAGAGAAACATAAGGCTTTGGTTTTATTGCTGTTGTACATAAAGTCATAAATTCATCAATACATGCATGTGTGTGCGTCTAATTAGGTATATAAATGAGCAAATGCACATAAAATGATCCCAAGTAAAATTATTCAGGACAAAAGCTAAACTAGAAAAAGAATGAAGCCAACAATTAAAGTCACGAGAGTTGCTTACAAGATCTCCAATTGGTCAAGCTTCCCAATATCAGGAGGTATTTGTCCACTCAACTTGTGGTGTGAAAGATTCCTACAAATAAAGGCATGAAAACAAACATCACTCATAGCCACCAAAACCCACAATAAAGAAAATAGACAATGCTGCAAGAGGTGGATATAAATTGAACATGTTACAAGCACAAACATGTAAAGCAAACAATTATATGAATTTGATGCAAATTGTGAGCCCTAATTGTAGTACACCAAGACACTAAGTCACCAGTACACGTCATAAATATAAGCCCACGAATCTTAACTCCTTTATTATCACAAAGCAACTAATATGATTTCAAGAAGTGATTGAAATTAACAATCCAAAGTCTAGCCCTTAATGCAAGAGAGGAGTAGGAAAAAAGCTCCTCACAGAAATGGGTGAATATTTCAAAGGAAAAAAGCCCCAAATTTCTGATGCCAAATTGAAGATTATATCCAAAACAATTACTTCCTCCATTGCTTTATAATTGCACTATTTGAGTATCATAATTACCAAAACACAAGTTGAACCATAGATAAGTTTAATTATATATTCATAAAAAGTTGATATTGAAAGTAAAAAATCAAGACAAATTAAAAAAAAAATCCCACATAACTACACTTTTTTCTTGCCTAAAAATCACAAAAAATGGTTGAATTTGTGAATAGTTTAAAATTTTAAATGATCAATATTCAAATAGTGGAGGCACAATTTTCCTCTATCAGCAAAGATTAAACAGGTATAAACACTGGAAACAAGGCAACAAATTGAGTCGTATGAAAGTAATGCTCCATCCATTTTTTTTATCTCAAACAACTAGGAGTCCTAACCTCTAACAAGCCACATGCAATACTCTTAAATAATATGAATTTATCACCAAAATAAAACAAAGTATCAAAACTTACAATTGTATAACCCGCCTGGATTTCTCATTGCATGTCACTCCTTTCCACCTACATGGATCAGGATCTTCAGGTCTCCACTTTTGAAGAATACCATCTGAGTTGGGAACTGATGTTCTAAAATTCACAAGGGCCTCACCTGCATGTATACAAACAGATCAACATGATTTTAGTAATAAAAAAAAATGAGCAAGGAAACCCTTGGGTTCTCTAGGCAATATAAAACTTTCCAGTCAACAGACACAGATATACAACATGCAATCCAAGATAAAGAAGTGGCAGAATACATGGACGATTATGGCAGCTACGAAAAAAAGTGACAAATTTCAAACGCCAAGGTGCTAATGATGGACTCTATATCATCACAGACTAACAGCACATACTGAACAACAGATTTATGATTCTTCAACATATGTCAAGAAGTGTATTATACAGGAAAGAGGAAACACCATAATAATCCATTACAAAGTGATTTGTATATGGAGCAAACATGTGGCTCATCTACAAGTTCCTAAATCCCTTAACATTATTTCTTTAAAGGGGGGGGGGGGGGGGAGATGGACTTGACACCTCCTTTTTATATAGGTTTCTGCCTCTTAACGAGTTTGTTTTGTTGATTTCAAATTTCCCCATTAAATACTTCCAACAGCACAACTTTAGAAAAATAGGACCTAGGATGAAAGGTTTAGATCAGCTTGAACCTATTTCAATCATCAATAAAAATAATAATTCAGTAAAAAAAATATTTTTCTGGTTTAATAACCTAATATCACAAAAAAGTCAATAAAATTACATTAATAACATCCACCTGATGTGAATTATTTATAATGTAGGAAATGAGGTCATACATACCCTGTATAAGGGGGGGCATGTCCTGACAGGAGGCAAATAATGGGTGATAACATTTAAGACAAACATTTTAACATTATTTATAATATATCTCATACGAAAAAGAGATCGGCAGAGGCTCAGTGTAAAGTTCATGTCCTAGATTCCTTACAAAAGGCAAATAAACTTCTGCAGGACTCAGTTAGTGGAAAGAGAACAAGAAATGGACAATAAAGAAACAAAACCAACCGTCAGGACTGAGAGCTCTGCTACCAGCGACCAGAATGCATATCACTACAGCAAATACATTGTACATGTGACCGAGTCTCAACTGAACAATTTCCATGGCGGAGAAAGCAAAGCATGATAAGAACACAGTATATCATTTGATATACCCAATTATAGTGTCTCTCCCTGCTCCGCATATCGTCATTACAAGTTTTATCTATCAAATAACTGCAAAGAATAATAGTGAAGATCAGCATTACAATAACGAGTACATGTATCCAACAACCATGTTTAAGATCATTGATGTCAGATAGCATAAAGCATAAGATCTCAAGTCAACATTTATCACTCCCAAAGCATGCAAAAGGAGAGTAAAAGCACCAATATTTTTAAGAAAAAACATAGAATATACAGTACAAGTTAACATAATGAGAGCTTAGAGAGGCAAATTCAAGGTAAGCAATGACATTGAATAGAGTGGCAGATGACAGCTCTAAAATCACATGATCAAAAACTAACAGACTTTAAACCGGGAAATATGCACTTGACCCACTCAAAGCAGCCACCTTAATTAGCCAAAAATCACAACATTGTCAAAATCTTTCTCATTATAACCTCGACCTCAAAATGGCAAAGACCACATTAGCTCACAAGTCAAATAGCAGGGGGCAATCTCATTCGTCTGGGAAATAAAAATAAAAAATAAATAAATAAAATGAATAGCAGGGGGTAATTTAATTTCAGAACGATAACTTCAACACAAGGCATAAAAATTCCAACTGCAATTAATATTGTAGCAACCACTTAAACATGAATCAGAAAGATTAGGATGCCTCCAACTGCATTAATATTGTAGCAACCACTTAACAATAATCAGAAAGATTAGGTAGCTCTAAATTGATCAAGTTGAAGACTCAGAGCGATCCAACTCTAACCCGATAAACCGCCTCAAAATCCCATCAAAACCCCTGATTGCACTTCAGCATACCAATGCTGCAATGCAGCTTAATTCTTCAAATATAACTCGCAGAATAGCACTCAAGCTCCACGACCATTTACAGTAACCAAAATTCAGTAACAGCTAACTTTCTTCACTAAATTCCACCTACCAATTCAACATAAACCCTAAAACCCCTAAAAGTACTTAAATTAAACCAAATTCACTATTCTCAGTAAATTCTACACTACTGACTAAAAATCAAGAACAATCACATCAAAACAAAATTAAAAGGTTAAACCCTAAAAACAAGAAAAATCATCAATTGAACAAAAAACCGAAATCGATAACAAAATTAAGCAATTGATTGACAAAACATCGAGTAATTACCTCTTAAATGATCGAAATCTGAGATGCAATTTCCTTCACTGAAAATGCATCTCAGATACGAAAAAAATCGGTGGAAAAAAATACAACTTCCAGAAGTTTCTCCTATAATCTGCAGCTAAGAAGAAGACCTAAATTTCAGCGAATTCGAGGAGAGAGAAAGTCGACGATGATGATGATAATGGCGAAGAGAGAGAAAGAGTTGAGAGAGTGTAAAGTGAGAAGAGAGAGAAAGTGAGTGAGGAAGATGCTCTATGAACTGGGACGAGCCAATGAGGAGAGAGAGTTGGCACGTGCAAGGAGGATGTTCCGCACGTGCAACCGACGTCGTTTAAGTACAATGATTTGTAGTAGTAAGTAGAGTGGATTACTGTATTATTATTGAGTACAAGTACTAATGCTCCGTACTTCGTATTAATCAACCATTGGAAATGTCTATAATGTCCTTTGACTTTTGATTCAAAGTTGTATATATGACGGCGGTTGTTAGGGGCGGGCGATGGAGGTGGTGAACTAGTGACGGCGTGGCATCATTATGACGAGGAGCGTGGCGATAAGGAGGAGCAAAGGTGAGCCTTGGCGTAAGGTTTATATATACATTTTTAATTACTGTATTTCTTTTTATTGAATTTTGAATTTATGATTCATCACTTGTCAATATCAATTTTATGATTATTTTAAATTTTAGTTACTACCAATCCAAACAAAGTTAGGCTACCAATTGTTTTTAGTACGGAGTACTAATTTAACATTGATATACATCTTACGAGTCTTTGTTATATATTTTCCATGTACCAACTTTATCTTGTTACTTTACCATATGTAATACACCTTACGAATATAAAGTCGTATTGGCAAAATTGCCAATATATGTCCCTAAACACTTAAACAAAACTTTACAACAGCCACTTATTTTGTTTTTGCTTGTGTATTTTATACTCATATTATATAATATAACACCTCTACCTAGACCTTACCAACCAATTAACAACATTTTTGTCGATATAAAATACTCAAATCAAATATTTACTTACACGTGTACTCCGAAAAAATTATCATGCATCACACGAGACGAATTAAAGGTGGGATATAAAAGTCATCCTTCAAGTACATAATAATTCCCCCTTATTTAAGTGGAAGCTTGGTGGGGTTGTCTGGTGGCGAAGGCCGAAGGTGCAGATCAGAGAAGAGGCACAAACGCTGACCACAAAGATCGAAACTTGAAAACAACGCAACCATTTCTTGGTGTTCCCCAATTCAAGAAATGACAAGAGGAAAGCAAAAGATCGAAGCTCAGAAAAAGAATGCTGAGAAAAATTCTAAGTCTAAGGGTTCCCAGATTGAAGCTCGTGCTGTTGGCCTCAAAGTTGTCTGTCCCATCTGCAAGGTTCGTTTCATTCTCAAGTATCTGTTTTTCATTGAAATTTTCAATCTTTGCAGTTTGATCTTTTATGAATGTTTTTTTCTATCTGGGTTGTCTAATTTTGTGTCAATTTTGGAGTTTGTATGATTTTCTGGGTATTTGAATTGTTCTTTTATTGCTGGAATCAATGTGAATCTGATTTTAATTAGTCACTTAGTGTGTAATAGTTGATCAATTTTGCTTAATATATTTGCAAAGAAAAGCAATTGTCATCTTTTGTTGATAGTATTGTACTCCTTTGCTAGTAATATAGTGAACAATAGGTCTCATCTTTTTCCGGACATCATGAAATAGTATAAGTGATAGTTTTTTATTGAATTATGTTGGTAATCAAAGGATTAATTGTGAAGGTTCGTGTACCGTGGCTGTTTTTGTGGGATGTAAAAGTTATGTTTGGTTTCATAAGAAAGTACATGGGATAGTATGGTAGAAGGCTAGTTGAGGCGGTGAGAGTGAGATGGTGATGCTTGCATGTCAATTCATATTTCAACCTCATAAATTAGTCACTTATGGTGATGCTTGCATGTCAATTCTATTTGTAAGACTATAACAAAGAAAAAATAAACAATTTTACCAAAAAGTGTCCTGTAAACGACGGCAATTTATGGGGTAATGTTTGGACTTTAAAAAAGGTAGATCCTATTCAGTAATCAAGTTTTGATTTTATTCTTTTTTGTTTTTTTCAAAAAGTGCCAGTGGTTCAAATGAGGGGTAAGGGTTTAGGAATGCAAGTATAAAACAATACAGATGAACATCTATTATACGTGTCTGCAATAGATAATATCAATTAGCTGGTGATGATGGGATACCCTCTCTTTTCCTATTTTATAACCTATACGCTAAAAGTTGGTATAAGTATAGTGACATGAGGCACCAAATTAATCCTTTGTTTTTTTACTACTTGTTTTACTTCACAAACTGATATATTAGATAGTTCTAGTTATTGCCTGTGGCAATCACTTTTTTCGTGTTCTTTCGCCATGTGAACATGAAAGGTAGTAGAAAATTTGTGATGGGGTGTTGGATCCTTGTATTTTTGTTCAGAGAATTGATATTACCCATGCCAATGTCATTTGATAGCAAGACTATGCAAGCCCTTAGAGGAGCTCATGAAGTGTATTTCATTGTCTTGCACAAGTTAGTAGAATCCCTAGCCTCTTGAGATGGAGTTTACAAATTGGTTGAAAGAAGCTTTCTGAGGTTGAAAATGTTTTGGAATGCACTGTTCTATAATTATACTGCATTGAAGGGTGGATGCCACTGTTTAGTTAAATGAGTTGCATCACTTAGTACTCCTAGCTACAGACTCCTTTGTTGCATTGCTCTATATGCCAAGGGAAATCACGTCATTATGAACGGTGTAGGCCACTATAGTTAAATTGAGCATTAGATTACCGAGGTAATTCTGTTATACATGAAGGAAATATCACACCAAAAACACTGCATTATGAATGGTGGATGCCACATGCCACAGTGTATGTGAACCAATGAACTGCATCACATAGTGCTCTTCACATCTATAACCTCCTCTGGTGCACTCCAGCAACCTTGGTCTGTTGTTTGCCCCAAATTTAGTGCAGCCTCCTTTTTTTTTTATGTAACGTTGTGGATGTTTGTTTGAGTTTATCATAAACTTTTTTTCTTACTATCGCCTCTGTCGAATTGTGGTATAGACTTACGTAAACAGAAGTGTGCATGTCTTAACAGTGGCAACTGTTAAACTATTGCTCACACACTAGATGAATTGCCAAAATTGTATTTTAATCACCCTGAACCCAGCTTCAGGTCTTGCACATAATAATGTAAACAGGGTCTGTGGGACCTGAGTGAGACTGAGGGTACTTTTTTTTTTCTTGATTTTCATATTGCTGGTGGTTAGTTAATTAATATCTTATTAGTAGAGATGTGAAAAATATGTGGTCATCTTCCTCGTGTTGCTCTGCTGCAAGGACTATGACTGTTTATGAGGTGCTCTATTTTTGTGTTGCTTGAATGACGGAATCAACTTGCTCATAGTTTTAAGGGAGGCACAAATCTCTAATATCGTGATTTGTGGTAAACTGGCAATACAGACAGATGAACATTGTTTTCTTTGATCCTTTGCTTAAGAGTTGTATGTAGTATATAATGACTATTTGAATGGTTAAACTGAAAAAAAATTCCTAGTGCTTCACAAGTTTGTGTTCGTGTGATCCCTTTACTGCTCTTGATCCCCCTTGTTTCAATTTTAGCAAAAGGAGCAATGGGTTTGGAGACCCTCTGGTAGCTCTTTGCAAATCTCTCTATTTGCCTCTTGTTTTTCCTAGTACCTTTATCTGCTGTTTTGTTCCAACTCCTTAACTGTCAATCCATCCTTCTTTTGGTATTTTGCATGATCGATCCATGGTTACCTCTTTTTTTTTTCCTCTTTTGCTTCTCATGTGGAGTAGGTATTATAAGCTATACTCGTTGGCTTTATCAATCAATTTGATCTTGTGAGTACGTAATCGAAGAACCTTTTGGTTTATTTTCTACTGATCTAAATGTTTTGATTTTATGTTTCCCTCGTTCTTTAGTTCCTTACTATTTCTTATTTACCAAGGAAGTAAAAGTAGCTGATGCTCTAGTTTACCATTCCCATGTTATTCAGTTTGTATAACCATGCGTCCATGATTATAAACTCTTCAACACCTTAATTTTGTGTGTGTGTGTGTTTGTTTCTGGCTTTTGCAGGCACTGCTAGCAAATGAAAAACAGCTTGTTGATCACTATGGCTCGAAGCATCCCAAGGAAAAGCCACCAAGCAACTCAAGTTGACACAACAGCATAAACCAGTTTTTATGGTGTAGAAAATCCTACATAGTACTGGTTATTTGTCTAAATTGTACCCGAATATATATGGTTCGAACTATATACAATTGCTTTAATTTGTGGTTGTTGTTTCCTGTTTCAAATAATTCAGGAACCTAGATTCAAACCAATTTCCTTTGAAAATTATGCAACTAGACCAGTATATTTTGTGCATGTTGCTCAGAAAGGCATTGCATATTTGCATTTATGTTTGATCAGTCTTCCTACAAAAGCAGAATTAGTGGCTTATCGCCTTGACCAAGAGGTGTTGTGCGCAACTAATTCCAAAATGATTCCTTCTAAAATTCTTAAGAAGCAAATTTTCATGAGCTGAGGGACATAATTGCCCTTCTTTTTAACATGAGTCCATGAAACAAAATCAAAGAAAGCAGTAAAAGAAAAAATGTCCTCTAAGTTGGAATCAAGTTTAGTCAAGTAGATGTAGGCTTTGGAGAGCTTTGAGATAATAGAGAGGTTATCTGATTCAAAGATAACTTTCTTGAAGCCAAGTCTGCAAGTAAGTGTAGCGGCCATAAGCATAGCTTTCCCTTTTGCGATCAATTACTATAGTCCTATTTTGACATCAATTTTTAGGAATAATTGTCAAAAATTACAAAACCTTTCGACATTTTGAAACGTTGAGGGTATTGGCCTTAAACAAGTTAAGGGCGTGTTTGGCAGCAATTTTCAAGTAGCTTTTAGTGGTTTGACTTATTTACATCTTGTACTAAAAAGTATGAGTGTTTGACAATGTAGTGGTGGGAGTAGAGTTTAGTGGTTGGAGTAGCTTTCGGAAATTTTCTTCTATATTTTTAGAAATTTTCAATTAATAGCTAGTTACGGAGTAACAATTATTTACCATATCTCTTAAAAAAACAAGTATTTACCATAAAAGACATACTGTTATTAAGATTACTACTATAACTTGATGAAAAATCCAATTTGAATGAGTTTTATTACTACTAAAGTCAAATACCATGAGGGAATACAAGTTTATGTCCGTGATAAACAATTTTACAGGGACAAAAGTATAATTTTTGCGCTGAAAATGAGTACAACCACTACTTGAGATAGCGGGTTTGCCTTGAAACCGCTACTTCAAGTAGCAGTATTGCTCAAAACTACTACTTGAAGTAGTAGTCTTACTTCATGATAAACGAAATTTGTTTATCATTAACTGGCAACCTCAAATACCATCGAAAGAGTCATAGAAAATATAGAATTTTAGAGTTACAAAATCTTTTCGTAAGACTTTGCTCAAAACCGCCACTTGAAGTAGCAGTTTACTCCGTGATAAACCATGGAGATTAAATGGGCAGCCTCAAATACAATCGAAAGAGTCATACGGAGTATAAAATATACGAAGTAGAATTCTAGAATTACAAAATCTTTTCGAAAATTTATCAGTTTCAATTCAACTCCTTTTCATATATTACTCTGAAGCCAATTATTATCCATATAAGAGTTCTAAAAAAGGCTAGAATCCTAGAAATACAAAATTCCTTCCTCTTTCATCTCATAACCTCAACAAATATTCTCAATTTCGCCAAGCCTCCTCTTCCTCCTTGACCTTACTCCTTCGATTATAGCCGTGAACCCTAATCAATTCCTCCCCTCTTTCAAACAATCATTACACATGTTGTTAATTATCAATCGAGGTTTTGTTTGATTTTCGTCTGAAACCCTTATAATTTTTTTATCCTAGTTCCCCAGTTCATCGAATTTTCAAATTAGGGTTTTGCACAAAATTATAATGTTCATAATCTCCTTGTTTAATCAGCTACCTTGGGTTACGGCTTCTTCAATCATTCTTGTTAACAATCTTCGTGTTCTTGGTCCTGGTTTGAATCCTTTTGCTCCTTACAACATGGCTAATTACTTAGCTCTCTCTCGCTAATTTCAATTTCTTTGCGTTTTTTTCTCCCACTTTCTACTTTAAGTAATCTGAAAGAAGTTTGATTTTGATTTGGGTAGTGTTTTGTCTGAAAAATCATGTAAATTAGTGATTTTTTTCATCTGGGTTTATTGATTTTTCAATCTTTGAAAGGGAGATTCTGAGTTTTAGAAGACAAGGGTTGTTTAGTGTTTCATAAGTTGGTGATTGATTTCGGAGGAAAAGGGTTTTGTGCTATTGAGGGAAATAGTCATCATGCTGATTACTCCTCAAGCTGAGCAGTTGGGGATTTCCCGGCGAAGATTGTTGAGGAAGCGGTCGCATAGGTCGAGTTTCGATACCGATGATAGAGGTTGGACTCCGCTTCACATTGCTGCTCGGAAGGGCGACCTTAAGGAGGTATAACTTGTCTTTCTTGATTGTATAGTTTTATCACTTTTTTGCTCTAGGTTGTTGAAAATTGTTGTAGTGATCCGTATGCGTCTTGTTTCTTTCGGGCAGTGTTCTATGAAGTTTGGGTGTTGATTGACTTGATTCTATATTTAGATTTTCTTGGTTAAGATGGGTGTTAGCTTTGTGGAAGGTCATTGCTGTAGTATTATCTGCAAACCAAGTGGAGCCTTTTTGGTGTGATATGTGTTTCAGATTTCTTGGAGGGTTCTTTACTACGGAAAGATCACCCCCTTCGTCAATACAATTACTTGTCATTAAAGATTCAGAAGGTCATAACATGTCTAAATCTGCCCCAATTTCAATTGGCAGTCCAACATGTTTCCTATAACTGCTGGCTCGTGAGGCTGTGACCAACTTAAGCCCCTTAGAGTGATTGAGTAGGTGTCAGAAGTAGATCAAATTGTAATTATGGGTTTGTATGAATGTGATAGAGATGATGAGGTGCTGGATAGAGGGACTGTGTCACTCCGTTGAACAGTTGAACACTCTTGCTTGAAGGAGGCTTCTTGTTTCCACTCTGTTTTTCCTCTAGACCATAGATTATGTAGACTCTTCTTAGTCCTGTCAAAAAAAATGAAATGCCTCTATTGGCCTTACAAGCAACGGATCAAGTAGTGTTTTATAGTTGATAGATTTTTGGGCTGTCGTTTAAGTTTCTAGACATTGTTTCATCATCTATGTTAGCTAAATTTTAGTATTACAATTCCCTTCTTCTGTGAATTTTTTTATTTACTTATGGAATATAAATATATAATGAAGTATAAGATCTAGGGCTGCTCTCTTTAGTCTCTTGTGATGGAATTTGTCAGTGTTATACAAAAGATTTTTAGATTGAATATTATCTTTATGATGTGATTAGCAAGAATAGTCACATAAAGATGTGGCCTTAGCGCAATGATATTATCAAAAATTGTTTTAACACTAATGTTATTGATATGGAAGTGCTTAGTTGCCTCTTAGGTCAGCTAGAAGTGTTGTGTGGAGAAATATTATCACATCCCCAGATGTAATCTGAAGTGACTTACAGACTGATTGTATAGTATAAAATTTTAGCTATTTCAGGGACAAGATTAGTTGCATCCGTAGATCAAGCTGCCGAAAGCAGAGGGCGGGGTGGGGGTGGGGGGGGGGGGGTTGGTTAGTTTTGACCTGAAAGAGGGAACTGGTAAAAGCTAAATTATTTATGAAAGTGAGAAATCTTTTTAGGTTTAGCGAGCTTGGATCTTTTGGCTTTGAGTGGACTAATAAATCTGTGGTTGGGAAAGAGTATGCTTTGAGTTGCTGAAGTAATGTGGACAAATCTTTTTAGGTTTAGCGAGCTTGGATCTTTTGGCTTTTGTTTTAAGTAACAAAGTAAGATTAGGATTTATTCTCCTTTGTTATTTTAGGGTATTTCCTTGATTTAGGTATTAATAGGAATTAGAGTATTATTTGCCATGTGGTAACCATATCTCTAATCTTATTGAGTTGTTTTCCTTGGCATCATTATTCTTTTTGGGTTATCTACAAGTCTGCACACATCGGGCTAGATTTTAATCTAACCTATGCACCATTTTCACATGGTTGAAAAAATTTGGTTTTGAGAAAGTGTAGGTGTGTGTGACATAAGAGAGTTTATAGGATAGTTTTTAATCTCTGTGAACAGCACTAATTGATTATAACAAATTAAAAAAAAAAAAAAAAAAAAAAAAGAGAAAGAGAGAGAGAGAGAGAGGAAGAAAAGGAATAGGCAAGTGGGCATATTGACCGTGTGAAAAATGGATTTTACCGAACTTAAGTTGTTTTCTGTTAAATCAATACTTGCTTATTTAATCTTATTATTGTTGCTAAAGTGAACTTCATTTTGATTTTTTAAGCTGGAAAGGACCAGCCTGAGTTTAATTTAGACCCTGATGGCCCTAGCCCCTAGGATTATACGGAGTAATTCTTATAAATTGTATATCCCACAACAGCAATAGGATAAACTAGTATGTTAAACTGTTAAACTAGTCCATATGGATCGTTTCATGCCCAATAGGTTCTGTCCTGGAATGCTGCGTAAGTTGCTCCAGCTTTGATGTGATTGCTGTGATTTGCTACTTGTTCTTCCTTAAGTTTATCCTTTGACTCACTATAATCTAGCCTTGAGTTTAGTATCTTTTGAACTGACATCAAAGGGATACCAATTTCAACTTTGTCTAGGATTGGATTATTCTGTGAGATAAAGAGCTCTTCTGGCTTTACTGTTTCAGGATTTAGGAAATAAGTGCTTGCTTTTATGATTTTCTGTGCTAGAATTGGAGCTGATTTGATAATTGTGGACAAGATTTGCTTGCTTATAGTTGGGCAATGTGTCAGACCTTGGAGCTCTTTTGGAAAGTAATACTTCCTCCGTTTCTATTTAATTGACGCGTTTGATTTAGGCACATATATTAAGGAGAGGGGAGAGAGTGACAAAGAATGAAAAAGATAGTGGGGTAGCTTGTAAATGCAAAGTAAAAAATTTACCCCAAAAGAAAACGTGACAACTAAAATAAAACTTCCTAAAAAGGAATACGTGTCAATTAAAAAAGAAACGGAGGTAGTACTATTTAAGAATTCATGTGGCTTGAAAAAGTAGGAATCTATTTCCAAGGTGCCTAGGAATATTCAAGGTATGAGATGAGATGGTTTCCAAGGTGCCTAGTTTAGTACTTAAAATTGGTGTTACTCATATGTTTATGTAACCTACAGACTTTAGCTTGTGTGCCACTTGGTGCTACTCACAAACTTAGAGTTGGTATTTCACATATAATTGGTGTGGCAGTAGGTTCATGATTCCTGAACCTCTGACTAAGTGAAGCTGTCATTTATGAACGTCAACCATCTTTTTTTAAAAAATAAATAAATAAATAAAATTTAAACTAAATTCTATTCTTCATTTTTTTTCATTGGACTGCACTCTTGTTATTATGCTGTGTTTTATGCTGCCTTTGTTTTCTAGTAGAAGATAATTGTTTCTTTATAGTAGTATATTACCTATGCATAGTTGAATTGCATTTTCCCCATGGATTTTAAACTTGATTATTGAAGTTTTAAAACGTGGGCCTACATTCAGGTTAAACAAATGCTTAATGAGGGAATGGATGCAAATGTGGCTGCTTGGGGCGCCAAAATGCAAGGTGTCACGCCTCTTCACCTTGCTGCTGAAGGAGGCCATCTCAAAGTCATGGATGTGTTGCTTGAGCGGGGTGCTAATATTGAAGCCAGGACCAAGGGTCCTTGTCGTTGTAAGTAATTATGTATTTTGCTTTATGGCCTTCGCCATGCTTAATTTATCCGCTTTCATTTCTTTTAAATTCCCTGCTGGGAGCTATTCATGATTTTCTTTACTTGAGGTCTGATTATGGTTTTTTGGGCATTTCAGGGACACCGCTCCACTTAGCAGCTAAAGAAAGGAATAGGGAAGCAGTCAGATTTCTGGTTGAGAACGGGGCCTTCTTGCCACCTGATATTAATGACAGCCGATTTAACCCACCATTACACTATTGCCCTGGCCTTGAATGGGCTTATGATGAGCTAAAGCGTTTGCAGGACAGTTCGTCTTCTGGTGAGATATCATACTGTTCTGATAACTGAAGCTGCCTTCAGGCACACGTTTCACTCTCAACATCTTTATTTAGCTTTTTAGCCACCTTGATCGAATGTCTATTATTTAGTTGTTGATGTTTATGATAGACATTACTATGCTCTGGTATGTGGTATGTAATGACTGACTGCTAAGCTCGACATTTGATTTTGTTATATGATGATGTAGCTTTTGGGGTTGCGTCATAAGTAGTATATCAGGTAATATGGAATTGTCATCGTTGAATGATTTGTTTTTTTGTCATGGATGGTTTTGAGTTTATGAAATAAAAGTAGACTTGGTTTACATTACTCTTCTCCAATGATTTAAATCTCTAGAATAGGGGAAAATATCAAGTCAGCAGAGTTTTTGCCGCTATAGATGATGGAAAGCCCTCCGGATGTAGGCTATCTTGTAATCCTGGATAAACCAAGTAATCAATAGTTAAGCTCCTTGTTTACTATGTATCTTTTTGTATCTAATAACCAAAGATCACTTCTTTATTATGGATGTTTAGATCTTTTGTAACCTTGATTAACCGACATCAATTGGACATGAGTACATAGTTTGGTTGAAGAACAAAGCAAATTAAACTATTCAAGCATAAATTTGTCAACATAATGCTATGCAAGTACATCACTATCATTTGGACATTTGGTATCTTTGATACATAGAGTGATGCTCTTGTGTAATTGGTTTTGGTCGCTCACCAACCACGCTCTAATGGAGTAACAAATAAGGATTATCTAGCAAAAAATGTTTGCATCTTACAATCAAGTAGGGATGTCAATGGGGCGGAGCGGATGTTGGCCTTCCCATCCCCATTCCCACCTAATATTTTCATCCCCATCCCCGTGGCGGGTCCAATTTTCATCCCCATCCACGCCCCACCGGGTACAACTCCAAAACCATCCCCGCCTCACCCCCACTTGGATATCCATCCCCACCTAATCCCCACCAAAGACCCGCCTAATCCCCACCCAAGATCCACCTAATATCCGTATCTCAAATACACAATCTTACATAGTTAATACAAATTATAAAATAAAACATTCTATATACATTTTGTGTTATAATATAAGTGTCGTACAAAGTGTTATAATTTGCATTTCATGTAATTATTTTATAAATAGAATAAAAGTATGTAATTTTGCTTTAAAAGATATATAGATGTGGGTATGAGGTGGGGATGGGGCGGGTACGAAGCGGGGCGGGTGGGGCGGGGCGGGGATGGGGCGGGTACAACTTAAAATCCACCCCCGCCCCATCACACATGGCGGGTATTGTTTTTATCCCCATCCTCGCCCCACCACCCGCCAAACCGAGACCCATCCCCGCCCCATTGGGGTGGGTCTCCTACTTAACCCGCCCCACTGACATTCCTACAATCAAGAGGTTATGCGATCAAATTTTAATAATGAGCTTGAAGAGATCATTCTTGCAAACCTATACCGAGTTGACTAAACTTCCTCTTTATTTTTATGTTCTTACACAAATGTATATGAAGGTTCACTGTCTTTGGATGTGAAGTGTGAACGAGTCCATTTTAATTTTGTTTCCTCCTCAAAAAATCAATTAATTTTCATACGTGGGAAACATTGTATAACACCTATAAATATACAAAATCTTTGGTTTGAAAAGTATAAAATCCACCTTAAAAATGCTTCTTTTGTTTTTATTATTTGTTGAATTGATTTACTACTTTTCCCTACAAAAAAAAATAAAAAAAAATCAGCCGAGGTAGCAAAATGTAAAGTTGTGAACTACTGTAATCCATTTTTCTTTGACATTTTGATTGACAATACGACAATACTTAAATCTGTGGACAATTTTTACATGAACTAAAAAGTTTTCATTTGACTTTGTCATCAAATCTTTCATACAGTATTTCTTACCATAACATACAAAATCTTTCTCATACTTTCATTAAAAATCCAAGATTTTCTTACAACCAAAAAATTAAATAAATAGAATACATCTTTTAAGATCTTTAATTTGATATAAACTACCACTATTTTATGTATGGTGTAGGACGTTAAAGAAAGTTCAAACTTGATTAGGTCCTACTCATTCTTGGCAAAACATGAACCGCACCAACATTGAACCCTTGTGGTGGCTCAACCACCCACATTTGCGGCGGCGATGCCACCACATCCACCACAACTATCTCACTCCCACCTTTACAAACTACGCAAAGCCGCCCGCCTCGAGCCGCCATCTGCAGCGCCCCTCGCAGCCTATCACTCTCTACCACATCCACCCACCCATCTGTCTCCTCCTTGTACTTCCTCACAACCCCTTTGGATTCATCCACCACGTAGATCATTTCTTCGTCCATTGCGGCCACTGGGCCCCGCCACCCGCCTAACATACCTTCCTTCATGTCACCCCATAGGTCTTTTTCTGCGCTGTAGATAGCTCCCTGCTTGGCAGTGTCACCTTTGACGTTGACCATGCAGAGGCGACCGCGCCAGCCAACAGCATCGGTCGCCTCCCGGGAGAACCGCCCGTCCCGGAGGGAGCTGGCCTTCTCCCACTTGTCAAGGCCCCTGGATAAGTCCCACCGCTCCACGGATCGGGCGGTATCCGTGGAGAAATGAGGACCGACCCCACTCGCCATATAAAGGGACGTACCAAGTGCCCCAGTAGCACACCACCTGCGGGGCACTGGTACAGGCGGACCATACCGCCAGTCCCTCGAGATGGGGTCAAACACCAGGGGCCGTGACAAGGCGGGAGCAAGGTGCTCTGTAGTCCCCGCGACCACAGCCAGTCTGTTACCAACCGTAACAGACTGGACCGGAAGGTCGCGGGAGATGAAAGGCGGGTGCCGAAGGAGAAGAGACAAAGGTGGTGGGGCTGGGAGAGGCTCCCATTTAAAACAAATGGGATCAAAAGCAAAGAAAGAAATAGGAGTAAGAAATTGTTGAGGATTTGAAGGAGAAGAATTGATGGTAATATTGGGGATCAAAAGAGTGTAAAGAGAGTAAAAAGGAGGGTAAAGAGAGGAGTAGATGAAACTACGCCATGAATGGGAAATTGTATAAAGTAATGAAGGTGGGATTATAGAGAGGATTAATTGTGCAATATGATCTGGAAGACCAGGTATAAGTTGTTGTTCATTTTTTGTGGAATCATTGTGTTGTTGGTGGTGGTTGCGGTTGCGGTGGTGATCACGGCGGTTGTTGCGGTGGTGGTGGTGGGGACTATCATGGTAGGAGAGTTTTGGGGTTTTTCTGGACATAGATTTTTTAGTATTTTTTGGGGGTAGGAGGGAAGGGTGTGTTTAAAAAGAAAGAAATAAAGATGTGTGGTAGAGAAAGGGAGGTGGTAAAGGATAATAGTGGAGGACTTGGGCTTAAATTGATAGGTTCTTTTTGGGGTGTTTTTATATTTATTTATTTCAAAAAAAAAAAGTTTTTATACAAACAATGAGTTTTTACCTTTCTTTTTGAGATTTAAACAACCTTGTTATTGGAGGAGATGTTCTCTTCAACTTATTTTAGGACTTATTACTTATTTCTTAATATATTCAGATCATATTAGGCCAGACCAGAAACCTTAGACAAGATCAAAACTTTTAATCATCATTTACTTATTGCTAAATATCGTTAATTACGTATTGCAAAAAAAATTATGAAAATTACATATTTGAAGAGTTCATGATGAGACAAATCTAACAAGATCTATTTTGATAATGTTTTTCTTTATAGATTAGTATTGAAATGCGGTTAAAATTTAGTCAAATTATTAATTAGATAAGATAATAATAATTCAGATCAGACCTTCTGAAAATCAGATTTTAGATGAAGAGAATCCCAACTTTTTTTTTTTTTTTTTTTTGACAAGCATGATTTTGTCTTGGAACACAAGGTGGATAAAGGAAGTAGATAGAGGAATGTAGCGTGCTACTTTAAATTAAATTTGGGGTTAGTAAGTTAGGCAACCTTTATGTTATCATCATGCACGTGCTACTAGAAAGTGGAAAGTATAAGACGGGCATCTTTTTTAAGTTTGCAGGAATTATGCTGCCTTTTGCCAACTTTTTTGGATGGAGAATTGGCTCTTTTTGTAGGCCTTTTTGCTACAATATTTTTTTATTTTTTTTAAAAATAAAAAAAATAAATTTTTTATTGGTGCTAGTATTCAATATTTCGGTTTTTTTTTTTTTTTTTTTCTCCCAAAGTGTTTCAATTTGATCAGTGTATAGTGTTAAGCATGGACTTTGAACATATACTATTTTAAAGATTAAAATTATAACATGTGGTGTATTGTTAATTTTGTCTTAATTTTTATTTTTATTTTTTTAATTATTATATATAATTATGTTTATTTAGACATTTTCATAATCAATTTTTTTTTTTTGAACGGATTTTCATAATCAAATATGTACATTGAAGAACATGAATATCAAATGTAACAAATAAAAAGAAACAAAGAGAATACTTATTAATTAAATGTCATCATGTAAGTTTTAGTAAATTAATTTTAATCAATATTATAAAGAAATTTCTTTCTTTATTATTTTTTTTTAGGAGAAACACAAAGTCAATATTTTAAGTCAAATCGAGTTCTTTAACTACTTTGCTTTGAATTTTATTACTATATTAGGTTAAAATCCCGTACAATGCACGGATGTTAAATATTTTTGACAATAATATTACAAAATGTAAAGTATATAAAAGATATTCAAAATTATTTCATTTTGGTATATATGAAATATGATTATCAAACTGAAAAGAAAATATCATAAGGAGTAATAAATAATATACTTAAAGATTTTGCACAAAAAAAATAAAAAATAAAATAAAATAAAAAAAGAAGAAAGAAGAAAAAAAGGCGGATTTTTTTTTTATTTTTATATAGTAATGACAAGTGTCATGAAAGATTTGCTTTTAGTATAGGTTATTAATCAAAGGATGAAAATTTGAACTCTCCTAAGTCGTAATTCCTTTTTTAGAGGCCCACATACATATTTGTATATTGAACATGAGAAATAGACCTCGATATTTCTTTTCTTTTTTAAAAAAAAAATAAAAATAAAAAAATTGCACAAACCTAAACCTGGCCTTGATGACTTTGATGTTTGATACTCCGTATATTATTATTGACATACTATGTTTATAAAGAAAACTTTAATCAACTAATATTATAAGTTGAAACATTAAAAAGAAAAATAAATTACACACTAACATACAAGTGCTTTCCATTATTATTATTATTTATTATCACTTTCTTAGCATGTAGCACTTGGATATATATATTAATTATCATATTTGAAAACACAATTGTTCTATACAAGTGGTCCAATGGTCCAAGTTTGTTAGATTAGGTTGAGCAGAGAATTATCCTTCATTCGTAAGGCTAAATGTATGTAGTGGCTCATACATTAATTGTATAGTAAGCCATTATTGTTCATTTGATTGATTATGAAAGTTTAATTTGTATGTTTGAAAAGCTGTACTCTTACCATGTTTTCCATGTTATATTCACTCATTAATAATTTTATGGACTTTCATTGAAGGGAATAATTTTTTTTTATTTTTTATTTTTTTTTTGAAACCATGGGAATAATTTGTAATTAAAAAAAAATACATTCTCCTTTTATAATAATTGAAACAATCAAATTTGACATACTTGTCAATTTATGAGTTTGATCATTTATATGTCCAATCAAACATTAAAATTTATTTTAAAAGTTAATATTATTAAAGTTCAAATCTATATCTATAATATATTAAAAGGCATTCCTAAGACCAAATAAAAACGTAAGGGTAAGGAGGATCGAACCCTCAACCTCTTATAAGAAAGATAAGAATTTCACCATCTAAGTCAATTATCAAGTATGTTATTAATATGTAAAAAAATAAAATAAAATAAAATTATTTAAGTGCAAACCACAATGTTTAATTAAAAAATTACTCAATTTTGGTTTAACAATGACAATTGCAGTTTTGAAAAGCCTTATCAATTGCACGTCTATAATAGGTGTAACCCGGGGCAACGCCTGGGCTACTCACTAGTTAGTATATTAACAATACTAATTGTTTTTTTAGATATACTCAAAAAGTCAAAAGGTATATACAAAGTTAGTATGTGAAAAGTGAAAAAAAAAATCCAAAATATGTCAATTATAATAAAATAATATCTCAAAATCTCAAATCAATGCAGAATTGATTCTATTTAATGTATAAGAATAAACATTAGTACTATTCAAAAAGAATAAACATTACTCCGTAGTAACTTATTACAGAGTAGATTAAATTACATACAAGGTATTTTATCATAATAAATAAATAACATTACTTATTATTTATCAATTACTTAGTATAATATATCGAAATCAAAATGAAATATCTCCCCTCATGATTCCAAGAGATCTTGTGATCAATTCTCATCATCCGCCCTAGTGACTCACTAAACAACAAAATAAAAGATCTCAGTCCAGTGAATTTCCTATGAAATTTCTCTATGTAATTCGATGATATGCCAAATTGGAAAAGTTAAAAAAAAAAACTTATAATAAATTTTGCAAATAAGGATAAAGTTAAATATTATAGAACACCTAAGTAATGTGTACAAAATTAAATGTCAAGCTTCCATATAAATGCAAAAAGCGACTTTTGCGAAGCAACATGTAACACCCATACATTACATATCATACGGATTTCCCCACCTCATCCAAATTATTAGCTGGTATGGGGTCATCAACAGCCTAGCTAGCTCAGTTCAAACATGAGCCATTTACTAGCTTAGGTAAAGCTTATTTGGAAAATAATATACTTCACTTTGGAATATTTTATATCTCACAAATAATATATTACTTTACATCTTCACTACTTTAACCTCAACTGTTCCTAGTGAAGACCTATCGTGTAAAAACTGCCTATCAGTCATACTTTCTCCTCTTTTTATTTGCCTTGTATTTTTATTTTGAGCTTCATTTCGATATTGTCCCATTATAAGCAATTTCAGTCATATCAGTCATACTCTCTCCTAATGTCTATTCCTCAAATCTATTTGCACCCGCATGTATAATTTTGCACCAGTTATTAATTTCGTGAAAAGGAACATCGTGAGACTCTTACCGTTCAATACGAGTATAAACCATGCAAACATTTTAAAGTTCTCCCTTCGTCTCTAAATTACATCCCTATTTCTCTCTATTAAATGAGGTTTAAATAATAGAAGTAGGAATGTAATTTTAGGACGGAGGAAATATATTACTAATTAATTGCATGGTTAAATACAAACTTGTAGATGAGAAAGATGGACCATGCAATGTCGGTTCACATTAAAGGAATAAAGGCGGCTTTTTTGCATTGAATTTTTAGTGAGCTGTTTAGTACGTGAGATGTCATTTGATTCACAAGAAAATTAATAACAATATTAATATAATAAATAAATAAAAGAAAAAATAAAGCTTTTTGGTTGGTTTTTATTTTCAAAAGGCAAATTCGTTGAGTGGCAAAAAGGCAATTTTGGACTGTTGTTTGAAGTTCGAACCTTAATTATTTATCTGAAAATTACTATAGTAAGGTACACTCCAACCAAAATCTCTAAGAATATCTGTAGGTCCCATTTATTCATTCATTTGGGGTTCTTACTTCTACCACTTAATTTTCATGAGTAATTTTCTTTTATAAGAAAAGAAATACCTAAAAATATTTGACAATTTAATGCATGGAAAAAGCTTTATTCTTTACACTTGTACTGTAAATATAGATTTTAATTAAGATTAGTTATGAGCTTACGACTTTCCTCTCTATACGAGTCATATTTGTGTTCATACTTGTTCTACTTTGTCTTTTTTTTAAAAGCATCTACTTATCCGATATTTAATTTTAGAAAGATGAGTTGATTTGAATAAAATTTTAAAGTGTGGTTTGTCGGAAAATTATATTTTTAGAAAGAAGTGAGTTAATAGTTTAATAAGAAGAAAGGGACTTGAGAGGACAACGCGTATCAATCCGGCCCATATAGAGAACCCCTGAATAGAAGGATAACAAGGACTACAATTGACATAAGAAGCTAATGAGTAATGATTACAGTGTACAAGCATAACAGAAACAGAGAAGAAAGCAAATACCAGACTAATTTGTTTTCAAATATCAGTTGAAAAATATGGTGAAATTAAGACAAGTAAATAGTGCCTAAAGTCAAAATGGTGCGATTATATTGAAGTAGAGGCAGTATAATCAAACAATATAGTACTGATTTATAGTTATATTATCAGTCTCACTAACCTATATATGTTATTCGTCATCTTCGCTGCATTCTATAAGAACAGGAGTTTTTTTCTTCGCCTTTTTTGAAGTTTTATCGTCTTGTTCTTCATTGATGTCAGGATCAGGATTTCCTGACGCGGAGCAATGGGCAATTTCTTCAAGAATTCTACTTCCATACTTTCCACTTTTCACCTTCCCGATTATCTTCTCCAACTGCAGAGAACACAATTTTTGTTCAGACACGTGAAGAATCTAAGTCGTCTTTAAACTGAAAAAACAGCTACTGAAGAATAACATTTACGTAGGCAAAGATTGTATCTGAGTTACTGAAGAGTCAAGCATTCACAGCATTAAACATTTGCAACTTAAAATTGTCATCACCTGTCCGCAAAGAAGTTTAAAATTTTGAAAATCAAGGGGTATATTATATATATTGAGACTTGCCTGTTCTATTGAATCTGGTTTTTCAGCAGCTAGCACGTTGATCTGCTGAGTAGATAAAATAGAATGAGGGAATATTCCTCCATGAAGTGAAGCAAGTTCCTTACGCAGCTCATCCAGCCTGAATTCCAAATTGGATGATGCTGATTTACGCTTAGCAGACTTCACAACCCCAGCTTTAATTTCCTTAACACAGTAGATTTGAAGCTTCACAGTTTTCATTCCTGCATAAAGCATTTGAGAAGGAAGCTAAAATTTGAAGCCAAGTAATGAATAAAATGCTTGAAACTGATTACATAACAAAATGTTCGTATCAAGAAAAGACCAAAGATGACAGCATGAACAAAATGATTGAAACTTCTCGAATATCTTATTACTCACTCAGTTCCAATATTAAAAAAAGAGGTACGATTTCAGAGAGAGATCCCACCTAGGTTAGATGGGGAACAAAGAGGCTTATAACCTTAAAGTCCTTAACCCTAAAGGCTACAATTGCAAATAATTTGTCCCTGCTACACCATTAAGGCCTTCACTCATACTGAATAAGGTGGACAACAAGCTCGATATATAGCAATTTCCCATCCTAACCACAAAGATCTAGACAGAGAATAATTGCCAGAAGGCAGGAAATTCACCTTGTAAGACCTGTTTTCCCAATGGACCTAATGTCACATAAGCATTTGTTGTGTACGCTGTGTGTTGAAATTCTTCTTTCTGCATACAATTATAAAAAGTGGTTAGTCATATTCCATTTAGATTCTGATTAGCACACTTGAAAGAAAATAGATATCATATCAATACAGAAAAGTATGGAATAGAAAGGAATAGGTTTATCAAATCCATAGGTATATTTATATACAGATACTTTTACAACAGTATGTCAGGTGCCAGCCTGCCAGGTTCAATCCTTTCGGGGGAATGTAGACAATAACTTTTACACCAGCTCCTGATTTTGGCTAGAGTTTACTGTGGTATATCCAAAACTTATCACAAGCTTCAAGTCTTTTGCAAAATATAGATTTCCTTATCTCAACTCCAAACCATCATTGTCAAACTTTGTTGCCTCTTGGACTCAAAAGATGGAAGTGTCATCTTTACATACATAATAATCCTCTTAAAGAGAAAACTGTTAAACTTGTAGTCTAGATAGATTTCTTTAAATCTATTACTTGTAAAATTTCCACAGGCCACACAGATAAGGTCTTGTCAGTATGTATTGCAAACGTTAACATGTTTTGCAAGCAAAATTTTGTAGCAGATGACCAGTGATCTACCCATCGACTATGAAATCTAAGAGATACTATGTGAGTTTGAAAGCTGCAAAATTTTTAAATGATGTCCAAAGAAAATCTGGACAAGACTTATATCCTTTCTTTTGGTAGGTTGACGTTTGATTCTAATTTCTGCTTATCCTTCTCTCCATCTTTCCATCCAGTCTCAATTTCTCTCTTCCCTCTTTATTTAATCCTATTTATTTTTAGGGTGAATTAGCTATCCCACAAGGTTTAGGCTGTGGACAATTATATCCATTTTTAAATAAATTACAATGGAGTTGACACAATGTTTCTGAAGCTATGACATATGTATCAACTTGGTATGCAAATGTCCCGTCAAAAAAAAAAAAAAAAACCTGGTATGCAAATGAGCAAGAGATATCAAAGAAAACCTTAACAGGAAAATTAGAGGCTCCTTACCAAAACACAATCTATAATTAGTTGGATGATAAGTTGCTCCATATGATCTCTTTTCAGGTCTGGATCTGGCAAATCAAACCAGCATACTGAAACTTAAGATGTTTATTGCTATCTAACTTAACCAGGTGCCATAGAACCATGAGATTACAAGCATGCAATTTGAATAGAAAAACTAGAGGTTTAAAACCAAAAAAAGTCCATAAATTAATGTCTCAATTTACAAGTATATGACTCACTATAGCTAGGTCAACAACACGTGAGCGCCAACATCTCACAAAATTCACATGTTAAATTCCGAGACTACTTGATAAGCGGAAGACTTCATAACAGAGCAGTTCCAGGTGTAACATACATATATCGACTCAGTAAGATACAGAATTCATACCATATCATTACTCGTACCTCAAACTGGCTCCTTGCTAAGAATTTACAGTGGTCATTTATATTTGAAAATGCATTAACACATTCACTAAGAATTGAGAAGCACAAGACATTATATCCATTATATCCCAAAATTGATATATCATCATCACTCTTTCTGCTCCATTAGTAATGGACATGACTAGATTAGAGTTGATACCGAAAGACTATGAGAAAGTGGTTTGGACTGCAATGTCAGAATGCAATTACCATGGGCTATAAACAGTATGACTGTAAATTGTAAAAGTGTCTAGACCTCAATTTTTTATTTATTACTATGTCAAGAGTCTAGACTACTATCTGATAACCTGCGGCTGCCTCTCTCTACTCCTTTTGCTTCTAACAAGGGAACTTATACAGAGTGTTGGGAGAATTTTTATGCATTGGAAAAAGAAAGAAAAGCAAGGGACACACACATAACAGCATACAGCTAAGGTTCAAAATCTGAAAGTTAGAAAGACGGACACAACACGTAGACCATATTACAAGAGTCCTGAGTTGATACTAAAAAATGATTAAGTTAATTGCTTTTTCTGAGAAATGAAGTCTAAGGCTCGAAAGTATAAAGACAACAGTAAAATTATTACACTAAGCAAACTAAATCATGCTTGCCATGTACATAAGTTTCACACATACCTAAGTCTTTCTGTTTTACTTTCATCTTGTCAACCAATTGCAACATTGTGACTCTCTGATCTTTTTCTTGTATATTTTGTATCAAAGAAATCACAGCTTTTGCATGACCTGCACATGATTTTCAATTAGAGCACATAAGAGACTATTGCACTTCTTATAAATAATATTTAAACATTACAGAAGATAACAGACTAATCTGCAAGGAATCAGTATGTGAGGGAGGGGCACATTAGTCATAGCCTATTAGTAGTGTCTTGAGGAATAAGTTAGAGTTAGTTATGAGACTTTCTATATATAGACCTCATTAGGAGGAGTAAGGATCATGTTGAATATTGTTGAGGTTATGTTATTGGGAGAGAGTGAGCCTCTCGAAAGCTCATATTAGGAGAGAATCCACCTCTCAAAAGTGGAATTATCCTTCTACTAGTGTAATTCACCTATTATCAATATAATCATCATTGTTCTTCCCTAATTTCTGCCATAGTTAGAGCTGTAATCTGGTCAGAAACCATGCTAATTCCTAGCATAATCATAATCATGATAATCACAGCTAAAGCCATAATGTACTACTGTCAAGCAATTAGTAGGATGCATTCTCTGAGAATCACAAACTCCAAATAAATTTCAAAAAATGGAAGCACTCAGTACAGCAGCAAAACGGCTTAAGGCACAAAAGAGAGGGAATATACAAAGAACTGTGACAAAAGAAATTGAATTTCTTTTCTTTATAAGAGAAAAGTTTACAGAAAAAGAAAAATATTTTTTTATAAGGAGACGAGTCACCAGGACAAAAAGCTAAACTGTCATGAGAGATAATGAATAGACATGACTGCTTAGCGAATTAACTCTCTCTAAGACCCAGAAAGGTTGGACGTCGAGATGTTTCCCATGTGCCCTTGGTACCCCTTGGGTGGTTGGAAACATCTCCTATGCCACTTAATTATTTATCAACCGGGTAATACTTCAAGCTCTCAAGACCTTTTCAAGTTACATATGGTTCAAAGCCTGAAAGCCACCTTCTATGACACCGAGAGGCACCCCCAACAGGTAATTAAGTTTTTTTTTTTTTAAAAAAATAAAATAAAAAAATCTGAATGTGTTACATCCTTCATTTTGGAGTTATATACTAATTCTGAACCCAGAAAGTTTGTACGTTAGAAAATGCTTCCCTTGGGTCTCGTGGGACCACATCATGGCTCTTTAGTGTTTGGGACCATCTACTTCGGCTCTTAACCATCCATCCAACTGGCTTTCGACACACCCCTTCTCATTAGTCCATTATTTGACTGACTAGTTAGCGTTTATAGCTATTAATAACCTGTAATGACCCTAGGATGAATATCCCAGAACTGTAATTTGCATTAAGTCACCATCTATGCCATGCCTTCCCTACTTTAAGTCTTTGGCCATGACTTTTCCCTATAGTTTCTTGTAGAAGAATGTATTCCTACTATCATGAAAATAATTATGTTAATGTTGAAAAAGAAAATTAGTACTACCGCTATCAATATCTGACTATGGTTGTCAAAAATTTTCTTTTAATTTGTCTCAAAATTGATATATGATCTAAATTACTTAGCATTGTTAACAAATAAAAGCATCTATATGACTATATCCCTTCACAAGTAATAAGAGAGGTCATTAATGATAATAAGGGCAATTTGTGAATAAAATTTCTTTGTTGAATATAAATGAATTCAATCATAACCTCATAGGTCTCTCATTCAGGTCAATCAAAATAGCAAGAAAGTAATATTTGAGTATAGTTACAATGAATTATTTTATTGTGGGTGAGGCGATCAATTTAAGAAAGTTGGTTGTAAGAAATGAAGAGAGATTTGTCATTTATTCCATGTAATATATGTTTGCCTGGCCCGCTGATCTTTGTAAGCTCATAAATAAAATATTTTCTTTATATGACAATTTAAGGAAAGAAACATTTAAGATAAAAACAGAAAGATAAGTATCATCACAATACATACAGGAGACATCAATTTCTTTGACCTCACTAGAAGATACACAATTGTCACACATCCCTGTGAAAACAACACCAAAGTATTATGAGAACCAGTCAGCATCAGCCAAAACATGTAGTCATTGTAACTCTTGAAATCTCTAAGGAAGCTGAAGATTTAAGAAAGAAAAAAATAAAGAATATACCATTGCAATCTAGCAGTGGTTCAGCAAAATGTTTGAAAAATGCAGCTCGCCTGCACCCAGTCCTTGACTGCAAACAAAATTAATTTCTTGAATATAAAAATATCATACACATATACCAACAGGTAAAAACGAAACAATATTGAAAAACAGTTATGGAGCACATTTTCTTCAATTTAAAAAGAAGAAACAAATGGACATTGAGTCCTCTGGTCCCCGCACAGATATAAAAATATAAGCATCCTTATTTGAGATCCAACCGCCTACTACAAATCCTAAATCCAGTCTTTAAATTCATGCTAGCTCAAGGATTCAGACCCGGTTTTGGATTGCTTAAGATCATTCCTAAAGAAGCAAAGAACTGAAACTAGAAACAAAGGGAAGTGTCTACTTGGCTAGTTTGTTTAATGAGGATTCGTATGTTAAATCAACTAAAAGTTACAGTTAACATCAAATGAAGAGGAAAATACTTTTTAGTGACTCTAGGTCCAAAATCCAGCACTCAGAAACTGGGCCACTTGAAACAGGTACCTGGATATAATTGTGGAAACGTAACCGATTTGAGCTTTGATGTTTTCAGAGCATACAGTGGATCTACATGACTACACCAGATCAGAGTCTGATTGTAATAGACTAACATTAACAAGGGTAATTTGGGAAATTTAGTACTTTTAGGTTAGTAGTCCTTATTCCTAAGCCTTGGTATAAATAAGGGATAGTAATATAGTATATGCATTAGCTATCATGTGAATTGTGAGGAAAAATGTTGAGAGTAGTAACCTCAAGTTACTAGGAGAGTGATAACCTAAAGTTATCAAGACAGTGATAGCCTTAAGCTATTAATCTATCTTTTTGTATCCAAATTCTGCCATTATTAATCTAAATTATCAAGCTTTTATCTCTAAATTAGTCTTTAAATCAGAAAATACTAAGTCAGTCCATTACACTGATCTGGCGCTGACCACCAGCCTTTTTGTACATCCTTGTACATCCTAAGGGATGTCGTGGAGGTGAAAAAACTATTGCTGTCAAGTACCAATCTATGGTGAAACTCACTCTACCATCAAAATACCTATTGAAAAAAAATATTTCCTCCTCCCCACCTCATGACCCTTTTTGGTTTTATGTACTATATTTTTTAAAGTCATATGCATTGCGTTTTCTAGAACTTAGCTTCTTTAACTTGTTCAGAGGCATGCACTTCTAACACTGATATATTATTATTTTTATTTTCCAAAACTGCTATGGCCTGGTCAGATACACTGTGTAATCAAATTATTTAATGATTTTAATCAACATATTCTTCAATCTGAAAGTCATGCTACTTGATGATATAACAAAACAGTACCTGACAATACCGTACTATGTCATAGAGATTCTGCAGACCGGAGTTCTCATAGAAGACCATTGAACTCTGCCAGAGAAGCAACACACAAAGGAGGGGCAGGGGAGAGTAAATCCTTCAAGTCATGATTAGTAAAATAGATTGACAGATAGGAGACCCAGAAACTTTACCTGCCTAGGCATGTCAGCAGGCCTATAGTAGAGAAGGCATTCCGCCGGAAGTCCATCACGTCCAGCACGTCCACTTTCCTGAAGCCAAGGGACATAAATCACAGCACAAATGTTTGCAGGAGAGCAAATTCGATTTGAAGAAAGAAACCTGGTAATATGTCTCCATAGATTTGCTCAGACTGTGATGAATAACAAACCTGACTGTAAACAACCCAATGTATTAGCTCGATAGGCATTTTTGTTAAAAGACAAAGGAGCAAAAAGGGAACAGATTAACGCATATACAAGGTAAAACCAGCATACACCTGTTGCAGACAAGACTGAAGAATGAAAAAGTGTATGAATAAAGCAAATGCACTGGCAAAATGACAAGGAAATACTAGGAATTCCTCTCCCTTACTAAAGCACCCAAGTACAGTCTTCATATGCTCCAATAGTCCAACATAATATATAAGGATGGTATGTGTTAAATCCAATGAGATTACTACTCAGAAACCCAAACCATCGATGCCCAAACAAATATAGCATCTCAAAAGATATATCTCACTCTCATTGCACGATAACAAAAGCTATCTAGAGCCTCCAAAGTGTTGTTGAGCTCCATAGAGCATCCACATTTTTTTTGGCATTCATAAAGCACCAAATTGCTTTAATGGATCCCCATAACCAACTACATTGAATATAGCCTTAATTTGGGTTCTCTAGAAGGCTTTTAAGGCTTGGTAGTGTATATGGTCTAAGAACCATACTTAGACCAACTCTATGCCTTTCCATTGCTTTATGCCAGTTAACCATATGACCCTCCCTATATGGCCCTAATGAAGCTTGGGAGCCACATGATGCCGGAGGGTATCTAATCAGCTTAAGAAGCTTCCTCCATAACCCACTTCAGTTGTGCCCATTCTGCAGCTGCATTGGTGCCATATATGATTTACAATGGCCTCCAATGACCCTTGTAGGCTTCCTCCATAACCTACTCTAATCTTGATATTGGGTCCCAAATGATCCTTCAGAAGTGAATGGTAACCTACAAGATGGGTTAAACCAGGGTTGTTCCAAACCAAGTGTAGTTTATGATCCATGGTATCTAGTATGACTCCTAAGGATATTAAGTCATTCTTAGCATCATCATGTGCCTGCTAAAATTACGTATAAGTTGCCAGAGGGTTTGTTGTGAAAGTAAGGAGCAGACTTGATGATAATTTCTAGGAAAGAGTACTACAATATCAAGAGACTGAGTAATAGGGATGGGAATGGGATGCATACTATTCAGCAATGATTGTCTTCAAGCTTATCAAGAGACAATTAAGAAGGTAGAGGTCAACAACATAAGGAGAACATAGCAGTGTACACATGGTAATATCAATACAAACCATCAGGTTTGTTAATTCCCATGCCAAATGCCACCTGAAAGACACGATCACAGTGAAATAAGGCAGGCATTCACCCGATAAGTATAGATGATAAACAACTGAATTATTTTGGCTAGCATCTTACTGTCCCAACAATGACCTGTAATTTGCCATTGCTCCACCTGCATCGTGATAGAAATACCAACTTAGACAAAAATATGCCAATAATCACCAATTCCAGAACCATCACTTATTCATAAAAAACAATTAAAATAAAGACTACATATTTAATATAGTCAACCTAGATATCAAGGTTCGCAAAAAGACACTGTGAAAGTGAAGGGTGATCTAACATACTCTTACCACACATTTATATTGCATCAATTGATATGTACATACAGAGAAGTGATGAGTCATAGAATGGATCGATGACAAGAAATGAAATAAAGGCAACAATAGTTCTCCTTAAAAGGGCAACAAACCCAAAAGTAAAAGCCAAGAGTAATTAGAATCAACATCCAAAAAGATAACATATTCTCATGATCAAGAAGCAGCACAACATGTTATGAGTATATAAAATACTTTTTTTAATTGAAAACTATCATTAAAAAAAGGACCCACTTAAACAACAAAGGTAAACAGGATCCACTTAAATCTACCTAAAGCTAGTATCATTACAATGGACTACATGTAAAAAGGTCTGAAAAAATAGGTGTTTTGAAAACAATTTTGAGGTGTTAAGCGGCAAAGGTGACTATATAAAAGGAAGCTGTTAGCGAATCTTACAAAGCTAATAATGGGGTGACAGCGAACATCAGCTTGTGAGCTGGGATGGTAAAATTTAAAAAATGGAAAGAATAGAAAAGGAAAATTTAACAGGAAAAAAAAGAAAAGGACAGAACAATGAATTGCTATGCTGCATGATTGATGCATAGAAAATTTAGACCATACCGCATGTGAACATTTTCACGGTCTCTAACTTCCATATCAGCATGGTAAAAATCAGCTTTAATTCTCTTTTCACGTAATTCCTTTGCAACCTATTTTTCAGAAAAAACAGAAAATTGTCAGAAACCAAAAAGGTTATAGTTCACAGTAAACTATCTATTGTGGAAGGTAAGCCGTATAACTGACCTGCTCACATTCTTTCCTAGAGAAGCAGTAAACTATTCCTGATTCATTATTTGGATATGATCCACTGATAAAATCAGCAATTTCATCAACCACCACCTTTCCAACTGATGACTTCTCCCTCACCTGTGCAAGAAAACAGAAATAACCATTGGAAACTCTGGCAGCCAGGCAAATAAGAAAACAAAGCACTCATATGTCTACTAACCATATAAAACAAATTTGGCCTGTTCACACTGCTAATAAATGTTACACATTTTTGTATATGCAACATCTCCATCAGATCAAGTTGGACTTTCTTTGTAGCAGTTGCCTGAAAATAATAAGAGAAAAGATCAGGTTTAAAAACATAAAAATTAATATATCGGACACTTGATTCTTTAACAAAAACAACTTGGCAGAAAGAAAAAAAGGGCAGGATACCGTTAAAGCAATAACAGGAACTGTTGGAAATTGAGTCTTCAAAATACCAAGGTTCTTGTAGTCAGGACGGAAATCATGACCCCACTGACTGCAGCAATGTGCCTCCTGCAAAAGAGTGACTTACTGACTCGTGCTAACAATTTCAGCTATAACAAGAATCATTGTCTATGGCAGCAATAAACACAGTTAGCCAAAATTTTTAGGATACATCAAACTTATAAGTCCCTACATTTAAAATTAATGAGAGCAGAAAATAATGCTAACACAGGGAAAAAAAAAATCGAAAACTGAGCATTTAATGATAGATTGACAGCAGAAAAGTTGCATATTCTTGTATATGTCTCAGCAGACGACCACCATTCAAACATATTCTATTTTAAAAGAAAGATTTTTTTTATTTTATTTTAAATTTTTTATCTAGAGTCCACCAAGCAAATAACCGTCTTAACTTTATTGAATAGAGTACAATATAAGTTCTTTTTTGGTTAGGAAAGTGGGAGGGAGTTAAGTAAATTGCTGTAGTTCTTTTATGATGACGTATTAATTTGTTTACAGCACCAGGTACAAAGTGATTACCATACATCAAATGAGTTCCTACTCTCAAGGAGGAATTAGCAATTTCAACTCACATCTATTGCTATGAGCGAAAGACGGCCAGCATGGTGGCACTTTTCAAGCTTTGACATAAATCTTTTACTCTTAGATATCTTCTCTGGTGTGACATACAATATCTTGAGGTCTCCTTCATTCTTTTCAAGGGCCTTGTATATGAACTTCTCATCTTCCTTGCTAGTAGTTGAAGTCAACATGTATGCTGGAACACCTAAAGCAATCAGACCCATCACCTGAAGCAAAAATTCAACATTTTATAGCTAGATTTGTTTGGTGGCAAACCAATGAATGCTTTGCTTCACGCAGCATTAGCATATATGGATATACCTGATCTTGGATTAAAGAAAGCAGAGGACTGACTACAAGGCAAACCCCATCACGAAGTACAGCTGGAAGCTGGTAACAGAAACTTTTGCCACCACCTGCAGCCATAATCACCAACACATCTCTACCACTCATGACTGCATTTATTATCTAGTAAAATTGAATTTACAGGGTCAGACCATGGCAGAAAGAAAAGTAGATTCCTGGATATAGTTCAACATGGAGAAAAATAAAGTCACAACAATGGGAAAATTCATTGCATAAATTTTCTTATAAATAAACTAAAATAAAAGAAAAATGCTGAAAACCCTAAAATATAGAAAAAATCCACCACGACAAGTATTTTAACCCTCAAAATCCCCAAAACATGAAGAGAACATATTACTTACATAGATTTAAATATTTAATACCTTTTTTGTAACACACCAAAAAATAGCCAATAAAGCAAGAATCTAGATGTTTCTTCCCCCCCCCCCTTTTTTCTTTTTTTTTTTTTTTTTTTTTTTTTTTTTTTTTTTTTTTTTTGCGGGGGTGGGGGGGCTAAGCCTCTATTGTTTTTATTGTTGTTGTATTCGGCCAGAATAGTATCTGAATTTTGAGGATAAAGACACTGAACCCACACTAGCAATTCTTTCAACCCAAAACCCATTACTTGACCCTGATGCACACAATATCTCTTAACCAGCAACTGCACACAAATTAAGCTCAACTTCAAAGTTTCCCAAAAGACCAGTTGATGTGACATACTGCCCATCAACTCTTTCACCACTTCCATGGACATAAATATGCTGCTCAAGTCAGCCATGATACTTCTTAAATTTTAGAAAGATTAAGATTAATCATTTGCTTTGTGAGAATCTATGAAAATAATTTAAACTGGACTTCACAGCCTAGAGACTAAATTCATCATGATGTTAAGCTAATGGATTCACAACATAAAAAGAGGACTCCAATAAATCGGGAAACCCTAAGGCTCAAGCTAAATAGACCATGCATTATCTCAACCCAATTCAACCTAATTTTGTCGACAAGAAGGCAAAATTTACAACATTACTGATTTGAGAAAACTATATTTCCTTTAGATTAGACAAACAAGTTGATAACGTATTTACCTCCCGCTGATTTGCACGATATGAAGAAATGCCAAAAATTTTTAGTCGGAGATCCTCAGCCTCAGAATCCCAACCAAAAGACCCTGACCAATCCTCTGGAGCAGTTGAGGCACCATCGTTACGGTGGCTACCTGATGCCTCACAATCTTCAAGGAGTGCCTTTAGTTCAGATTGTCTGGCATACAAATTTTCTTGCTGATCTAGCAGTAGCTTTATTTGATCTGCAGATCCATGCAAAATTATAAACAGGTATTACCATACCAAATTAGATGACTTATACTCAGGTATTCATTTCCTGTTTTGAAGATTTTTTTATTTTTTTTTATTTTTATTATTATTTTTTTTTTTATAGAATTTGGGTTGAAGGTCAACATATATTGACAATCCATATTAAATAAGTAGAGCATACGTAATTGCTATTCTATGTATTAAGCACTTTCTTATATTTGTGATGTATTAAAAATCAAGGTTCGGACTTGTAAATTGAAGGTGAAAAGTGTTAACAAGGGAGCGACGATCTTCTGGCAGGCTTAAGCAACTGACACTGGCAGTTAGAAAAGTTAACAGAACAGCATTATAAAAGACTGCCAAACAAAAATTTCAAACCCCAAGGCCACAAAACAATAGCCCCGATAAGCTAATATTACAAAATTCAAACCAAGACCAAGATGGACAAGGATAGACTACAAGAAATTAGACGGAGGAGTCAAATGGGAATTTTTTCCCCTTTGGAATATATAGCATCACTGCATGAAATTCTCAATTTCTTCTTTTTACATTTTGAAAACAGCTCGATACACTGCTTTGGTCTCTAGCCAGTGCTAAAGGCCTCTCTACGATACATAAAAACCAAACTTTTCCAAAACCAAATTCTAAAAACAAACTCTAGGAGTCTTCAAACAGGACATCATCATACAGGCAGTTAGATAAGTAACACAATGTCTTTTGTTAGGCCCTTCCTCTTTGGTTACCGAACAAAAAACATCATGATCACCCTAGCCATAGTTACTCTCTCCAATTCTTATTATCTGTCCATTTACCCAGCTTTTCTTATCAAGCAACATTTGTCACTTCAAAATCAATTAGCAACACTATATATGTCGTCATTTCAACACCGGATGCAATCCTACTCATCAATTTTAAATACCAAGGCAAAAACTAACAAATCCTTAAAGTTTTGTCAAAAAAAGAAAAAAAAAAAACAAATCCTTAAAGTATACTCAGTATTATTATTAGAACTTGGCTCTTACTGCTGCTCTTTGTTATTTACATGTTAAAGTTCTTGGAATTAGTCCATATATATAGAAACACATCAAATGAGCTAAATTTCGAAACTCAGAAATCATATCATACCCGAAACACATCAAATGAGCTAAATTTCGAAACTCAGAAATCATATCAAACCCCAATTATTTAATGGGTGCTTCAAAAATGTTGATTTATACACTATTTGCAAACAATTGTACACACGGAAAAATCAGACCCCAAAACTAATTTGCATCAATTATCTAAGCTTCATTTACCCAAAATTCATCGTCTTCCTCAACTAAAATGTATTCTTTCTTCACATTTTCTGGTTACGCAAAATTTGCCATGAAAGATACAAATATTTATATGAAAGATTATAAATAAAATTTACCCAAATACTAAATTACCCATAAATAAAATGCAAGATTATACTGCAATTTAAAACCAGAAAAATAAACAAGAAAAGAAAAAACCTTGAACATCTTGAAGCTCGGCTTCCACATTCAGCAGCTCTTCCAGAACTTCATTGGTGCAGTCCATTTCCAGAATTTTCGCTCTTCGTGTATGTAAAATTTGTTTTCAACAAAATTTGTACTTTTGAATCAATTAAATTAACCCCCAGAAATCGTAATTGAAGACACTACTGCCCAATTAAATTTGCGAATTAAATGAAAACTGGACAAAATGTTATGTAATGTATGCCCTTGTTATTTATCGGTAGCAATACTTTAGGCCTTTGGGTTGCCCGAATATATACGGAGTACACTATGAGTTAAAAAGGCCTACAACCATTAGCCCATTCTTTTCTTTTAATTTTAAGATAAAGTTGACTTTTTTTAATAGTTGGTCTTAAATTGATTTTTTTTTCTTTTTTTTTTCTTTTTTGAAATAGTTGGTCTTAATCGAAAGTTCAATCCAAATCAAAGTGAATTATGTTTCAAAAAAAAAAAAATCAAAGTGAATTAGGTACTGTTTTCTTCAATTTCAGCTCCAATCAATTCAGTAAATCAGAACAGGCTCTTAGTCAATTAGGAATGTTGGATATCAAAAAACATAACAAAATGGAGTAGGATAAATAACCAATTCGTGGCTATTGTGAGTTGATGTGTAAGCTTGTATAAGTTAATAATACTGTTGTATTGGGGATTATATTGGGATAAACTTTTTAGACCGAATTATAAATCGTAACACTTCGTTTATTACTTCATAATTCCTATGATCCACATATATAACCAAATGTACAAATTGAAATAACGGATCTAGATGGATTCGAACCACCAACCTCCCAAACATAATTTGGGCGCTCTTTCCATTTAGAGCTTATAGATCATGATGCACCTCACATAATACATAGTATGAAACCACTAAGCATCATAAAAAGACTTTACTCTAGCTCAAAAACAAAAAAAAAAAATTGCAGGCTAAAATCATCTCACATTGCAAGTTTTGCAACTCAGCGTCTCAGCTAAATTGATTGCAATAAGCATCATCTTTAACTCCCAGGAAGTGTAACACAAAGGAACTTCAAATTAAAAGGACAAAACTTAAGCAAATTCTAATCTATTAATCATACTACTAAATTGAAAAATAAATAAAGGTAAGACTGGGAAATAGTCACAATAAACAATCAATAAAGGAAATATTATTAATAGGTGCACATCTCACTCTGACAACAGGTATTCAACATTGAACATTGAAGTTGTGACATTGGCAAAACATATCAAGCATCAACGATCAATAGTTCAACTATTCTTGATTGCTTTGGCAATACATATTTGATAGTGCCTCATTGCTAGGCGAACCATCCATGAAAATCTAACAAACAGCTAAACTGTTAAACTTGTGCAGATGAGATCCTCGAAATCAGAACAGCACCTTGCCCACAGAGCGTAGAGTATCAGCAGTCTGGCACCTAGAATGTACAAAACCTGTAGAAGAACTTCTAATACAAAAGTGTACAAAGAGAATGATATAATTTCGATTACAACACTAACTCCAAACACGATTCAATACTGTTGTTCTCAATAGACAGTAATGTAAAATGCAAACACAAGCAAGAAAGAGCAGAATTAAAAAAGAAAAAAAATTGCTCGCTGGAAATAGATTGTTTAAATTAAATTGAGCATCAAGATGCCTGAACAGAATGCATAATAAATAAACTTAGAATTTACTTCAAGGATTACGGTGGCATGATTGCCAAATAACCCCAAATAATGTGGTTTTCAAAAATTATAATCTGTATGGGGCAACTACGTACAAATATATGCTGGTTGGTGCAGTGTCCACATATGAGGATTGGTGCAACGTAAACATAAACGAGGATTGGTACAGCAGACAATCTAGTGGAATATATAACCTATCTGTGCAGCTGGCAAGTAGTAATCACATCTATTTTGCAATACCCTCTACAAATTGCTTGGAAGTTGCTTAATCAGAGTAGCTTATTCAAGAACATAATTAGCTATTCTTTTGATAAATATAAATGCAATGAAGGGAACTGTATGTAGCTTTCCACATAATTAACCTGAAGTTCGTAATGAATGTTTTGTATGGGTAAGTCAATGAAGAGATGTTCTACATGCTCGACATTCTGAACATAAATTAAGTTCTAAATAAGCAGAATTTCTCAATACTCCGTACAAGATTGTAGGACTCCCAATTTAGAAAGATTCAAAAAGCAGAGCTCTGTGCATGCAAAAAATTTCGAAGACAGCAACTGTAAGACAGCCTTGATGTCAAGGGACTAATGAAGAGTACTGACACCACCTTAACCTTCGCAGATAACATTGCAATCTAAATAGTACGAGTAATTAGAAAGGATTTTTGATAAATATGGAATTTGATAAATATACCTTGGCAAAATTGGATCTTGGCCAAATATGTTGTCCAACGAAATCATTTGAAGTGGCTTTGCTCGATGTTGGTGCAATAACAGTGGAGTTTGATGATTCAAGCGCAAAGGGGTGCAGGGAAAGGGAGACAAATAAAGAAAAACAGACACAACACACGCACACACGGTTGGGAGAGCCGGGAAAAACCCCGTGCCATCTCCCAACAAAACCACAAAAAAGATCTTTTATTAAGATTGATGACCTGCCAAGCAAGCGCACCCGACATGGCAAAGGTCGACTAACAAGACCAAATCACCAAAACAAGGAAAACACTCCATTCTCCCAAACAACCCCGCCCATACGAACTAATACTACTGCTTTCCATCCACATAACATAAAACTCACCAATACCACATGTATTGAGAGTAATTTATCACAACTGTGAAGTACATCGGAGTATTATATGAACACACCGTAAAATTGGGAGAGCCAAACCGCAACGCAGCTATCTTCCTATACAGCCCTATCAGCCTGCTGAACCGTGCAGACCATCTGAAAATCAGCCAAACCACTCGTCCTCACGTCAGAGTACTGCAAAAGTCCTGGTTCCAACAACCGATATAGCAAAATTAAATCGATTGTATAATTTTCTAACCGAACAATCAAAGATGAATCATGTTTATAAGTTCGTCTAATCAAACCATCAAAAACATATCATGTTTATATATTCGACTAGCCGAACAATCAAAGATGAATCGAGCTTCTTAAATCGCATGAAATCAATTTCATACACGAACTTTAAATTTCAATTTCAAACCTATAAAAATTAAATTTAATATTCATGCAATAAATACAGATATAATCAATCAGATCGAAAACAATAACCAAAGACAGATTTATGCAGCAATCAAAATCTTGAAATAATTGCGATGTAATCACATGCGAACAGCCAAGATAACCTAAATTCACAGAGATATAATCAATCCAAACAGAAAAATTCACTTAAATTGACAGAAATATTCGTAAATTTCATTTAAAGTAAACGAAAGAAATAATGTAATAATCAAACTATTAAGCAATTTCTCCATCAAAAATTTAATGATCTTGAAAATTCAACGATCTTATTTTAAATTGATATGATTGAATAACAATAATCAAACAGATAAATCGATTCAAAGAAAGGCAGAGAAAACCTATTCGAATCAAATTCAAATCTCCTACGACAATCGAATCATAAAATTCGACCAAAATCAAGCAAAAACGCCGAAATATTTCAAGAAATCCATAATTTTTGCATATAAATTATAATTGAATTGAATAAATAAGATCGGATGATAGCTTAATACCTCCGTAATCGATCAAATCTGCAAAAAGTGAAGAATTAACGCGAATCGACGCAAATCAAATAAATCATTGAACAAAACTATCAATAAATTTGAAGAGCGATTAATTGATTGATTCGAAGAACAAAAAATTGTTTGTAGAAATCTGATCGAAGAGAAGAAGACATGGTTAAGAGGAGAGAGAAAAGGAATCAGAACTAAGAAAACGGGTAAAAGTATCAGATATATATAGTGGATCAAGAAAAGTAATGGACGGTTGAGATTGCATGATTAATTGGATGATCGTGCGGTTGTGCGTGCAGTTAGTTGCTTAGAAGGACTTGTTATTATGAGTTTGGCGGAATAAGGGGTCGATTAATAGAGTGGATAGAGTTTGGCGGGTTAATTATGCCACGTCATTAGGGCTTAATTTTCAATAATTTTTTTAATTTTTTTTAATTCCCACAATTTGCTAAGCTAATTAGCTTAGCTAAGCGAATAGCTTTGTCCAGCTAATTTGGTAATGCAATTCCAATGGTTAAGCTAATTATTTATTAGTTTCATAAATTGCAAGCTAGTCCTAATTTTACACTGTTGGAGTTGCTCTAGGTGGTAGGTAAACACAATTTCTATATTCTTAATTTATTTTAAAGAAATCTTTGGCAGAAAATATAATTAAGATCCGTCAAATTAATTAATGAACAAAAAAAAAACAATAGGTAAAATATAAAAATTAGGCCAATTCTATTCACATTATTTTCACTTATTTCAGGGTTTGATAAGTTTAGATAAGCTAAGTTTTGATAAGAGTTAACCAAGGCTAATAAGTTCAGATAGATAAATTCAAATTAGTTAATATAAGTTCAAATAAGTAAAAATCAAGTGAATATTACACACCCTTGACTACAAAGTTTTATAATCAAGAAAATTTGACGTAAATAATTCAAATTCGATGAATTTAGGGAATTTTAAATAGAAACAGTTAAAAAGGAAGTAAAAACAATTTCCTTAAAAAAAGTAATAATAATAATAATAAATCAAGTCGTCATCATCATAATAATAATAATTAATAAAAAAATTTAAAAAGGAGGAAAATTAAAGAAATTTGGAAGGGGCTTCTCAAAAAAAAAAAAAAAAAATAATAATAATAATAATAGAAGGGAAAAATAATAGTGATTTTACTTTAATAATTATAGATTGTATTGAATTGGTAGGTAAAATAAGATGTGAGAATAAGATGAAGAACATATATGTGACAAATAAAGAAAAGAGAAGCTAAGTCATGTGAAAACAACTTTATAAATGGATTCCTTGTGAACAAGAGCAAAGAATAAAGGTGCAAGATGCTAAAATAACAACTCCATGTTTAAGAAATACTAGTATGTACTGAAGCAAAAATGCATAGTGTTGGTAAAGTGTGTATAATAAAGGATGATTTAAAGAGTTTTTTTCACAAAGGAGGAAATAATTGTTTGCTATTTTCTTTTCTCATCCAAGTCAATAAAACATGTCACGAAAATTAAATAACGTATTGAAATTTTACCATTATACACATCAAAATATTTAAGTATAATATGCTTTAAAGCAAATAAAAGCAATAAATGTCAACTAATAATTTAATACTCATATTATCTTCTAATTGTACCATCATTTAAAATTTTTAAATATGCCTTAATTAAGTGACATAATAAACGAACATAAAGTACACATTAATATCATAACGGTGCTTTTGAAAAATCGTTACATGTTCATAATTATAAGAGGTAGGAAAACATAATACAAATGCCTTAGTAGACATTTTTGTATTATTAACACCTACTATCATAAATCGATCCATAATTCAACAACTAATCTGCCTGCCCGAGTGCCCGCCCACTCGCCCGCCCACACCAAAATCAAAGAGAATGAAAGAGCACCACAACCTACTTAATCAATTGCTTATAGCAGAAGCCCACACAGAACCTGAGACATTGCTTGAATTGCAATGCAAGTCCAGCAAAGAAAGAGAAAGAAATCTCAGTAATAGAATGATGTGAACGTCAATTTAATTACACGCCATTAAAAAGGCAATTCTCAATTGTGTGTTGTGTCTCATCTGACATAACCTTCCCACCTTACCCAACAATGAAAATACCATTTCAACCATATAATACACACTCTGCAACTCTTTGTACATAAAAGCCTAACTCTGAATACAGAAAACTCCTTTGTTCAATCTCAGACCAAAATATAGGAGGAACTCCTCATCACTAAACTCGGTTCACACGGATAGGATGGCAACAAAACCAGATTTCGCACAGAAACTGCTGCATGACCTGCGGCTTAGGAAGCAGCGTATGGCCACTGCTCAGAACTCAGGTAAATTTAGCTTTGTTCATGCAGTTGTTGCAACAACAGTGTACATCTTTAAGCTGCTGCATCTTATGCTGGCTGTGTGAATACTAAATCGGTTTTTGTCATAATTTTATACGTACATGGAAAATAGCATTTCCTAATGTGTATCACTATATCAGTATCTGACATCATATTAATTAAACTAGAAGTCTAGAAACCTACCTTAATTTTCATGTTAATCTGTTGTATGTCACAAGCATGTACAGAAATACCTTGCCAACTTTGTAATTAACTTTGTAATTGTGATTCATTCTGCGTCGATAAGAAACCATAAGCTGTCCGATTCCAATAAATCACCTTTCAGCTTCCAACAATCTGTCAAGAGTAAGTTCATGAACCAGAAATTAAAGATTGTAGACAGTATGTTTCACATTTAAAAGCAAAAACAAAATCAAGGCATGTGATAACAAAATTTAAGATATTCAGCATGCACTTATAGGTTATAGCTACTGTCCAAACCATGAAAATGGATTTTCGTATGATATAGCATGAAACATAGCAATTAAATCAGCCATTGCACCAACCAATGACTAGTATATACTTGTATATATACAAAATAAAATGGCTTAGGAGTTAGGAGTGCTATAAGCGGCCTATAAAACAAAAATAATCAGGCATATAGTCACTTGTTCTAAGCAACTAGACCAAACAGTTCTGACACCAGACTGAAGAACCTTTTAATAAAATATGGTTGATGCTTTGTTGATTCGGAGTGAACAGATATGTACGGGAACTCGAGGCAGAACTTAAAAGGATCCAGGGGAACAAAGACACTCGAGACAGTAAGTGTTTCTACTAGTACACCTAAATACTCTGTATGCAGCTTCAAACAATTGTATAAAAAGTACCAGTAGAAACCAAAACAATTTATTTACTGCAGGTTGGTCCGAAGATTGGAAGCAGGTACAGAAGTAGCACTAATAGCCAGAAATCTCATGGAACTATACAAAATGCGAATCAGATGGTCCCTTATACTGGAGGCCAACAGGCCCAACACTCAGGACAAGTGGCCGACCTATCTATGGCTCTATCCTATGCTTTTGACAACAGAGGGAAACTCAAAAGATTAGACATTGCAAGCACCGGTGCAATGATGGATTTGTTGCAGCAAATAGGAAGGAGATCAATGCAACAAAGTCTAGACATCCAATGGCAATCAGCGAACCAATTTCCAACCCTTAAAAATCTCCACATTGATGAGATAGCAAAGGGAGCCCGAAAATTGAATCAAATACTTAGAGCCTGCTCTAGTGGCATCAACATAGATGAAGGCTCCATAGATATTGGGAAAGATCTTTGGAAAGGAGCAATGGAGTTGGAACAATCTCTCAGAATGCTTGTGAGCTTGCAGGAAGCGTCAGAAAACACGATGAGCCAAAAAAGGAAAAGCCGCCTTAAATTGCTTGATGAAGATGGAGATAGTGAGGATGACAGCACTGTCAGCTCAGAGAAACAAAAGCAGGTGGAGCGGCCAGTGTTCTCATTTGACAAGCCTACTAAGAACTCTAAAGCAAGTGTAAAGACAGATTTGCAGAAAAATCTTTTAGCTCTTCCATACCGAGAGGATCCAAATTCTAACCCTGAGAGGAACACATCCATGACCCCCAAAGGCACTCATAGGCGTTCTGCTAGCTGTAGTCCAGAAATCCAAACATCACAGCTAGCAAATTCCTCAAAACCGAAACACAATGCAGCTAGACTTCCTAATGTTGTTGCAAAGTTAATGGGACTTGAGGATCTTCCACAGAACAAGGTTGCCACAGACAGTCCAATTTCCCACCAAGGATCAAGGGAGCTGGTTCCGGTTCATACTGCTGAAAGAAGCTCCAAAAGTGCTGGCTTAAACACAGAGTACACTAAAAATGCCAAAATCCTAGTTAACCAGAACAAAGTGCACAGCAACAAAATAACAATACTGACAACTCATAAAATAGAGCTGCAAGAAGAAACATACAGATCAACCAATAGTCATAGAATGACAACTGCTCCGGTGAAACCAAGATGGAATGAGGAAGAAGGAGAGGGAATCAAAGACTACATAAAAGAGTCAAAAGCAGCTATCTTCAAAATAAACGAACTGCAAAGTAAAACTATTCACTTGAACCAAGATGGGGAGAGCCAAAAAGACGTCAGAAAGGAGGTAAAAGTCAGAAGCATTAAACAAAGGCGACAAGAAGTCGCATATGCCATGGAAACATTACAAAGAATGGTAGCGCCAGAAAATAGAAGTTTGATCGTGGCAGAAACAATGAAGTCCTATACACCTGATAACTCAAATGCTCGTGAAACACCAAAGACAGCAGCAAGTAAGCCCCTAATTCCTCAACAAAAGCAGAACCGAGATATCCTCAATATGTCATATGAGCCTCAAGGAAAGAATCTGAAAGCAGACAGCAGAAGCCAGCAGAGGGAAAGAAAAAAGGAAGGCAATGTAGAAAATTTGCAAAACTCGAGAACTATAGGAAGAGAATCGAAGCATATGCAGAAACAGCTGCACATCAAGCAACCAAATGCTGGAAAGAAAAACGCAGAAGATATTGGTTTGGCAGATTCAAAAACAGCATTATTGAGCAGCAGGCAAAAAGAAAATCCAGTCAGAGATGGCAACTTCATGAGCTCAGAAGATAAAAGAAAAGGCTCAGCGAGTTTGAGATCAGATGATAATGGCTCCTCAACAGATGGGTTATCTGAATCACACATGACAGAAGTTTGTGCTAGACCAAATATAGATGCAAAGTGTGCCCATGATTCACCCAAAAAGGTGGTAGGTGACATAAGACCACCGAAAATTAGGCCTAGGCCTGTGGTGAAGACAAAAGAAGATATCACAAAGACGGTCACAACTCCAAGGACAGCAGCTAGGGCATTAAGGTCTCAGAGACCAACACCACCGTACAGACTGAAGCAAAACAAAGTTGACAAGATCAATGTTTCAAGGACAGCAGCAGAGGCAAATGAAAGCATATCAAAATCAGCAGAGAGCATACCAGGAAATCATGTTACGAGCAAGCCACCTGTATATGAGGAATCTCAACAAAATGTAGATGTTGAACAGACAATCACCAAAAATCATACAATCAGAGACAAAGCTTCACATAGGCTGAAGAGAGTTACTACTCCAGCTGACAAGGTAAGATCAGGCATGATAGACCTCACAATTATGCTAACTAGCATACTCAAGTTTTACACATAAAATTTTAATGACAAGCTTCTGACATTAAATTAACATGTGCTTTTTCATGCGTATTTCAGGATGAGAATATAGTATCAACAGTTATTGAAGATCAAAGGGAAAAACTGGTACCTTATGAAGCAGAAATCATGCATCAAATAACAGAAAAGGGTAAGCAATTATTATATGCCTAAAACTTGTAAGAGTAATCTTTTAAAAATAGACTCTAATTCCCCAAGAAAAGAATACACCACCAGTGACTAGAGGATGTGTATCCTCTGCAAGTTTCTGATCCAACCAAATCTATCCATTCCTATCCTTTTATTTTTTTTGGATTTTTTTTTTCCTTTTGATTCTTACATACATTTAAACCACAATTACAAGAGCAAAAAAGCTTATCAAATATCCTATAACTCATCAACTATTATCGTTTTACTATCTGATCAAGAAAAACAGATTTTCGACATTGATCTATATGTTTTAACTAAAAAGAAATAGATACTAATCCTTCGCATACTGCTGCAGATGGCCAAGAGGATTGCAATAATAACTCTTGCAATCAACAACAAAAGCAGCAGAAGCCTGTAAAGATGGTAAAACAAGAGCCACTCACAGAAGATGAGCTGTTCTTGAAGCAGAATCTCATAAAGAGCCACCTTATTCTCAATACTGCAGAAGCCCTCTTCAAGCTTAACATTCCTATCAGCATTCTTAATTACGCGAGTGATCAAATTTGCGAAGAGAAAGATAGCAAGATCATACTAGACTGTGGCTATGAATTGCTGAAGAGAAAAGGAAGGCAAGAAAATTTCTTTTATGCTAGCACCAAAATCTTTAGGACCGGTGCAAATTTCAGGTCTCTGGATGATTTGGTGAAGCAACTGCACAAAGACTTTGAGGCTCTGAGATATTATGGAAGAAATGGAAGGGATGAATATGATGATTACGCGAACTGTATTCTTAAACTGCTGGAGACTGATATTTACAACAGGCATCCTGATTTGAACTGTATGTGGGACATTGGCTGGAATGAGTCGAAATTTCAATGTGCTAAAATGGATGAGGCTATAGGTATTATAGAGCAGCTAATGCTTGATGAACTCGTGGATGAGTTAGCAAATGACTGCTTATAATTTGATTGTAAAGCATCTAATGACTCCACATGTATAGAAAAGTCTGCTTTTTTGCGGTTTTTGGAAGCTATTCATAAGATTTTCTCTTCAGAAATACACATTCTGATTTTAAGTTGTTGCTGAGATTAGGAAGGCTTTTCAACCTTACATTTTAAATGTTCATCATATAACCTATCAAGCTTTATTTATCAAAAAAACTGTGAAGAAAAGCAATTTTAATGATATAAAAGCCATTTATAAACAATCACAAAATCAGCATATCCATTCAAGCAATTTACGTCCAAAGGAGCTCTCACATGCCTTCTAAAATTAAAATTTACGAGTATTCTCAGATATGCAGTTCAACCTTCCAAGCTGAGTTGGCAACTTGGCAGGCGGTGGAGAGGATTCCAGGGTAGCCATTGTTAATAACAGGATTGTAATAAGTAAAACTCAGACACGAGAGAGAAGTTTAAGGTGGCCGCGAACATAGCTGTTTGCCTGTGTTTCATTGCTAGGGTTATAGTCGGGAAGAAAAACAATGGTATTTACTATTTAGGTCGATTGTCAAATTTCCCTGCTCTTTATAAATGGATGGAAATTAGGAAGGCCCATGCCTGTCCCTCGGACCCTCGCCTGTTTTCTGGTTAGTTCCATTTATTTACGAAGTTTCAAATGCATGTTTGGAGCACAAAATTCTACAACCGCGTTTATTAGAGGACTTGATCTATATTCACAAAATTTCTCAATATAAATGAGAGAAATCAACAAGTTAAAGTACAAGGATTTACACTATAACATACTGAAATTCGTTTTCCCAACCCTCCACAACACCCCCTGACTGTACAAGTCATGCACAGAGTAACCTAAATTTCCAGCAAGATGAACATCACACAATTCACAAACTTTTTCTTTTCTTTGCAAATAATGATCTCATTGAAACACACAACAATGTGCTCATATTTATCTTGAATTCCTGATCAGTGATCGCTGAGCAATTGAAAAGGCAAATTCTGCTATTTAGACAAGGATTCCCACATTACTAGTAATCTAGATGCTGGGGCTGCCGGACTTTATGGCCAGCCGGAGCACAATAAAGTCTGGCAGCCCCATGCATGTAACCTGTACTTAGTCTGGCGACATGATCAAGTTGACATTGCAAGAGATAATAATACAAATGTGCTACTTCATATTATATAACAAGAGTGTAAATGTTATACAGAGGATTAAAAGTTAGGTTAACAAAATCGCAAAAATGTTTTATACATAAGAGTGTAAAAGAAAAAAATAAAATATATCAAAATGGCCTAAATGGGTACAACTCTCCAAGTCTTTTCTTGAGCACCTATTAGGGGAGGTTTGAGCAAAGCTGCACATTTACAACAAAAAAAAACAAAAACAAAAAAAAAACAAAAAAGGAGAAAGAAAAAAAGAGAGACAAACAAAGTACTGGACACTCACTCCTAGTACGGAGTATTTGAGCACCAGTACGTTAGTTGGGTTTTGAAACCAAACAGATAGACAGCTTAGGACAATTAGACAAGGCCCACAAAGCATAATATAATGTACTACAAATTTGTACAGAAAACAAAGTGTATTAATGCACTCTCATATATTATTGAGTTATTGGAGCAATCTAAGGCAGAAGGGCTGCTTATAAGCAATTATGACAATTCAAAACTTTACCAGGCTAGACTCAGATTAAATAGGGGTCATCGATCCGTAGATAATCAAAAACTCACAAGGCATCATTTTATTCTTCATTTACTCATCACAAGTTAATATGTCATGCCTCCTGGACTTAGATTTCCTCAATTGAGGAAGCTGGTCATATAGCTTTGAACTTACAAAGGTTTATCCCAAATCTAAGTCTCCCAAAACACAAGTCATTCCAAAACGACACCTTGCAGGCATTCTTTTCCCCCACCCCGAAACCATCAGGGTCATACCATACCATTAAGGAAGTTCCTAAAGGCTCCTACTAATGTTATTAAAGTCATATGCTGTAAGCAATTTCATTTTCGCAATGTTAACTTGTTGCATCTTATGAGCAATTGGATATAAAACCAAATTAAGGTCACAAAAATAAACAATATCACAGGAATATTAAGCAGGTAAGCAACCCTACATTTCACTGTCTATCCAAACCTATAAAGTAATACCCAATTCTAACAAAATTAAGCTACAAGGATTCCCTCAAAGAAAAAAGCTAACTACAATAGGAGAATCATACAAACAAAACTACATCCTTTTAGAAAATCATATTAAAAGCTAGGAATTACTGGTTTGCTATGTGCTCAAAATTTGTGTGTTCAAATTTATATGCTGCACCCTCTCAAAACATATTATCCTGCATCTCAAATTCACTGCTTCTGTCGTTCAAGTAATGCCAAATACAATGTTGTAGGCCAAATTAAACCACAAAATACATACTAGGCAAAACACCCTCTTCTCTGTTTCACCGTCTTGATAGAAACGAAAACAAATATACCAGTCATCAAGGAAACAATGCTCTTTATGCACAGAACAAGGCATAACATAAACTATTAAAATCATCAGTAAATAGAATAGAAGATTCACATTTCAACAGTAACCAATAATCAACTCCACGTCTCTCTCACAGATTACCAATATACGCAACTCACATCTTTATTCAATACATTTAAAATAGTTGCATAGTAAAAGTATTTGCAGCTGAAAACTAGAAAATCAATTATTATTTTTCAAATATTAGTGCTGACACCTAAGTCAGCATGTATATAGTTGTAAAAAGCATGCAGTAATATTTGAAAAGGAACTTACAACGTTTTTTATAAAGAAAGAAGAGATAGTTTGGAAAAAAAAATCTTGTAAACTACGCTTGCAAAAAAAATACCTTGTATAAAAATGTTGTAATAATTTACTTTATAAAGCATTGAAAGTTGAAAAAAAGTACATTTACCGGATTTAACTGTTTGCCTTCGTGGACTCTTTTTATTTCCCTATATTTTCTTCCTTTTACCCTCCATTGCACCCAAAATTACCATCTTCCTCAAATTTCTTCATCTCTCTTCTCAAAGCCCTATGCCTCATGTTTTTCTCATCCCTCCACTAACTACCCAATAAATCCAAATTTCTCTCCCTTAAAGTTTATATAATATTTCACCAACTGAAATGGACAGTGGGTTTTGCTTCAAACTAATTGGTTTGCAAACCCTTTTAAGAATATTACTCATTTGCTATAGATGAGTTATAGGAATTCCAACTTCTGGACTCTGCCATAGACGAGGCTTAAAAAGGTTTTGCTTTTTAGCATGGATTTAGCTGAGGAGAGAGAGAGAAGCTAAGGGATGGTTTTGGAGATATTAAGGAGAAGAATTTGGCATTATATGAAGGAGGGAGAGTGAGAACAGAAGGTGACAACTTAGCACCTCTACTGTGACAACAAATACTAATCATCAACTCCCAAATTGAAATTTCACTGCTTTGGTGTATTAGAGATTTTTGAGAATGTCTTTGAGACCATGATCGGAGAAAAAGGAAAAGGGGGAAGGGGGGGAAGACAAGCAAAAAATTAATGACGAAAATAGTCAAACTCCCAAATTCCGGCAAAAAGTACCTTTTTACAACACTTTATGCTTAATTAGGTAGTTTAGCACATCATTTATTACACTACTAGTTCTCACAAAGACCGTTTCTATACGGTAGTTTTCCAAACAGTTACCTTATAAAAAGCATGCAGAAATATTTAAAAAGGTAATGATTTTCTTAAAAGAGCAGGAAACAAAATTTAAATCTAGAACTGACAGCAACCTCCCAAACCCCCACCTCCTTCCCTTTCAGAAACATGGGTATTAAAATCATGGAAAACCGTAAGAAAAAAAAAACCTTCACACAAAGAATCATCAACTAATCAGCATAGATTGTCAATCTTCAAGAGGGTATATCATACATACAATAAAACATAAGACAGCTAGTTGACAACTGAGAAGAAAAGAAAGTAGAATATCGACACAAATAGCATAAACCCAGTAGCAGGATCAATATTACTGTAATCACTACCAAACCAAACCTAACTGGAATATGAAGTAAAAGATTACATATTGAAAATAGTAGCATATGACTCTGCTTAAGTTAACCAATAGAGAATACAAAGCACATATGGCAAGCCAAATCCATATAATCCTACATCCTATAAAACCTTGAAAAAAAAAATGAGTGCCTTCTAAAGAACTTAAATAAAAGGAGTAACAATCTATCTTGCAGAACATAGCCACAAATAACTACCACTTTCGCAGCTAAAAATCTACACATGTAGCAGCAAGACATGGGCAGCAGTCCATTCAAGCAAACGACACATTCATTTGTCAGCAATCACGAAATCACCAAAACCATTTAAGCAATTTGCGCCCAAGGAGCTCTCAAACACCTGAACCAAACATCACATTGCCAACTTAATTCAACATTCAAGAATAATCAACCATATATAAGTAATAGTTTAAAGAAGAATAAGCTAATAACCAATCAATAAACACCTAGCATTCAACTAAGCATATTATCACATGTAAGCAAAAAACACAGGAAAGCACAAGTAATCAACCTAGCATGAATTCTATCAGTTAATAATAAGTAAATACTACCTCAATAATAAGAGGGTGGCATTCTCTGATACATCCCACCAGGAGGGGGGCCTTGAGGAGGACCCTGTGAAGGAGGGTGGTTCTGGCTCATATACCCACCGCCACCAGACGAAGGAAGCCCGTAACCACCGCCACCCTCTTGATAAGGGGGTGGCACTCCCATAGAGCTCTGTGGTGGTGGCATCCGATAAGACGGATACTCTCCAGAACCTGGATACTGTGATTGCAACCCATAAGGCCCTCCAACAGAAGAATTATAACCACCACCGCCGCCACCAGGACCATGAGCTGCCCCCATTCCCATTCCGGGGCCTGAATTAGGACCGAGCCCGTAATTCCCATACCCTCCCATCGGACCGCCAACCGGTGGATTCATCGAACCCGGCATCCTATCACCACCACCCATCTCCCCAGGCATAACAGGATTCGGCCCACCTAATTTCCCTTTCTTTCCATCTTCAGCCAATTTACACATAACTTGGTGCCCATCAATCATCTTCATCGGCTCCATCAACGACATCCTCGCACCTTCCTCGGTCTTATACACGAAAAAGGCGAACCCCCTTGCTTTCCCACCTTGTTTATCAAACCCTAAAGGACCCTCCTCAATCTCCCCAAACGCAGCAAAGTAATCAAGCAACCTCTCCGCCGAAATCTCATACGGCACATTCCCCACATAAATCTTCCTCGTCGCTTGATCCTCGCTATTCGGCCCTCGTCCCGCAGAAGCCAAATGCGTCACCGTCATACGCCCATCAATCTTCTTGTTCGGCTGCCGCAAAGCCAAGAGCGCACCATCAACATGCTTAAACGTCACAAAGCCATAACCTTTCGACTTCCCAGTAGTCTTATCAGAGATTACAACAGCTTCATCGAGTTCTCCGTAAGATGTAAACAACGATTTGAGAGATTCAGTTGTTGTACTCGGACCCAGACCTCGAACAAAGAGCTTCCGCCGAGAAACGTCGGAATCAGCGAGCGTGCGCGCGGCAAAGAGGACGTCAGGGTGGCGAACGACGGCGTCTTGGAGGAGAGAGCGAAGTTGGTCGGCAGTAAAAGGTTCGATGAGTTTGCGAGCATCTTCAGGAATTAGGGTTTGGGTTTGAGATGGTGGTTGTGAATCTGGGGTTGCGTCGGAAACGAAGGAATTGCCATTTTCGTCGGCTTTGCGTTTCTTTGTAGCATCCATTGAAGAAGATGAAAGAATAAAAAAACCTAACAATGGCGGAGGAGAGAGAAAATTGGGGGTTTAGGAAGAAACGATTGAAGAAATTGGGGAGACGATACAAGTATAAATGGTGGTGGAAACTCAGTAGACCTTTTTTTGGCTAACCTAGGTTACCTAACCCAATATTATTATTTTGGTAAGTTTAATCATGATTTTTATTTTTGGTAAGTTTAATCATGTTTTTTTTTAATGTTAAATTTAATTTAATTAATCACTTCATATATATGTATGAAATTCCAAAAATATAAAAGATGGTTTTGTTTAAATGGTATTCGAGTACTTATTATATCTTAGGTCCACTTTCTTAAATCCTAGGCTATAATAATTTCGAACAAGAATCTGATTGATGATCACCACACGTGCAGTTTAAAGATAGGTTTTAACTTTTTGGTTCCTCCCTTTCCCAAGCCAACCTATTTTCTCTCTCCTTTGTTACTATCACTTATTTCGACGGAAAAATGGTGAATTGTTTCAATTTCACTCCAAGGGTTTAATGAGTAAGCTTGGCAATGATGGTTGCGACAACATTGATGATGGAGATTTTGGCAATGGTGGCTCTTATGCCATTTACATTTGCTTGGATTATGGTGATTCTAAAGAGATTATTCGGCGAGTTTTAATCAAGGTTTCAGACTTTCAGTTTTCTTCTCCTTAAACTTAAACACAACGTTATTAGTGTCATTTTTCTCTCCCCTGACCATTTTCTTAATATGGATAGGTCATTGTCCTCAGTTTCTCATTGAGAAAAAAAAAATGTGTCAAAGTAGTACCAAGATGAGAATCTTGAGATTGATATGGTTTAACTAGTCTGTCGACCAAATCATACATATCAATGCTTACATATGTAGATGTTGGCACTCGAATTTGTGATCCTAATTCATAAGGTAAGTTTTCCACCATTTTCTGGCTGTTTTACTCCTAATTTATTCAAAAGAATATACTCCGTGTTATATGATATGTTATTTTATCATTTGTTTATATGGTAATTATATCCGACTCCATTTTTTTTTCAAAAAATACTAACGCGTGGCCTTAAATCCGAAATATGAGAGTATTCGCTATCCTTTAGCATATCCCAAGTCATGTGGATGAGTCTCTATCTAACGAAGACATAAATTTCGGCGCAGTTTTGCCACTGAAATTTAAAATTATTGTAAGGTGGTTGATGACAAAATTACTTATTTGAGGGAATAGTGAAACTCGGTCAAAGGTGAGTACATTTAGGTCATAGGTTTTTCTCGTCTAAACTAATACACATTAACATTATTTCTCACATACTTGGCAAAGGTGACACATTTGAATTATTTAAATTCCCTAATTACCAAGCTAAATGATAATCAACGTATGAAACAACTCACATTGTTACAAACTAATGCTTATTTTAAAAGTCAATCTCAAAATTAATACAAAAAAAATTCTATTACGACATGTAACACGGTTCAATGTGATTCTAATTTGGATACAAATCAAAATATAAACTTTTTTACACACAACCTTACGAAAATTTGTTGCGTTCATTATTAAATAATCACTTACTCATATTAATCGGTGTTTTAAAAAGTCTACCTATGACATAATAATCACATGAAATATCCGACCCATGTTGTTTCATTCAATTAGTTGACTCAGTCACTAGTTACCCACAAGCCTAATCAATACGTGAACCTTTACCTAAGTACAAAGTAAAATTTGAAGTCATAATGTCATACCTTTACTGCAAAAATTATGTCTTAGCCAAACCCATACTCATTACTAGAGGTGATTAACATCAGCCCGACCCGAAAATAAGGCGGGTTTGACAAGTCTAAAAACGCATCTATACTTAGTATTTAAAAACACAAACCATCATCCTCATGATGCCACATGTAAATTAAATTTTTCACCAATGCCACATGTCATTTCATTTAATCTTTATCATATTAAAAAAAAAATACAGTAGCTTTAATTCAATACATGAATGAATGTTTTGTTCACTTTCCCCCAACTTAATATTTTCTACAATTACATTCAATTTTCACCCCTTATTCTTCTTTATAACTATTAATTTTTCAATAAAAAATATACGAGTATTATAAAATTAAAAATCATATTAAATACCTATAAACAATCCGTGCATTGCACGGGTCAGAAGGCTAGTTATTAGTTAAAAACCCAATCTCAGTCCAAAGAGGCCTCCTTGGCCTGACAAACCCCGCTATTTCTCATGGGTTTGGGCATGGTGTTAAGGCCCGCTTCTTGCGGGTTTGGGTTTGGGCACAAGATATAATGTTAGGGCTGGTCCGACCCGATTTTTTATCACCTCTACTCGTTAGTTATACTTTGTATGGCATTGGCCACTATAAACTATACTCCTAGCATCATGCTTCGTTCTCTAGCCATATCGAACCCAACACATGTGACCAATATAAATCCGACCCGTTGACACTCCTAATGGCCATGGTCCCTGCCCCCAAAGCCATCACATCAGCAAAACATTGAACAAGCAGACAAGCACACAGCAATTGACAGAAACCCACGTATTAGCTTTACAAGGCCGTTGTCATGCGTTGAAAGCCTGCTTCTTCCATTCCTTCAAAATATTGTTAATCTTCTCTATCACTCGATAATCCCACAAATTCCTAATCCAAAAATTTAACCTTCGCCATTTCCATTATCTGTAAGAGCTATAACCTTCTCTCTCATCTTTCTATATCTGATTGTTTTTCTAATACCGTTTTTTTTTTTTTAATTAATAATCCGGAATAAAATGCGCTAGATTTATTTAGTTCTTGACACTTGTAAATTTTATATATTAAACTATATAATAATACGAATTATTGGGTTGGTTGATTTGGGTGCCTTTGAATTGGAGAAATTTTTTTGATCCAAGTTTTTGTAAATCAAATACAGAATATGGCACCATCTACACTTATATGTGACACAGATTCTTGGCAAAATTTGAAGGTAATTGTTATTGATTACACAAGTTTCCTGCTTGTTTTTTAATTTAAGGATTAATTAATTTTTAAAAAAATTATGTTTAGACCCATGTTGCTGAAATTAAGAAGACCCATCTTCGTGATTTGATGAATGATGCTGACAGATGCAAGTCCATGATGGTGTAAGTTTATCACTCTCAGTTTTCTTATTTGGATGTATAGAAATATAAGAATATGATTGTTATTATATGGAAATTATATATTGTAGCTTAAATTATTGTGCAAATTAATTTATAATAATATTTTGTTCTTGTTGTTATAATTGGTGAAGTGAATTTGATGGGTTGCTGTTAGATTACTCTCGGCAAAATGCTACACTTGACACCACAAATAAGTTGTTTCAGCTGGCAGAGGTGGGTTAGAAGGCAATTTATAAGATAATGAGTTTGAATTATGATAAATTCTCATATAATTCTTATGTTTAACCGAATGTAATTGTTATTCGGCAGGCTGCCCATCTCAAAGATAAGATTAACCGAATGTTTAATGGAGAGCATGTAAGTTCAATGATGATAATGTATATTGTTTGAACATAGTTATATCTTAGGTTTCGCAAGAGTCACATCTTTTTAACTGCTTTGGAAATTTCTACTTTCTTGTCAAGTGAAGCAACATAGTTTCTCTACTGATTATTTCATTTGTATGTATTAAATGCCATCAGATTAATAGCACCGAGAATAGGTCTGTTCTCCATGTTGCTCTTCGGGCACCAAGAGATGCAGTGATAAACAGTGATGGGAAGAACGTGGTCCCTGATGTGTGGCAAGTTTTGGATAAAATTCGGGATTTTTCTGAGAAAGTCCGAAGTGGTTCATGGGTAACTACAATCTTTTCTTTCTATTTAAATCCCTTAGCCTTTGGTGTCTGTTAACTTAGATTTGAGAAGCATTGATTAATTTTTATTTTTAGGTTGGAGTCACAGGGAAACCCCTGACAAATGTAGTTGCGGTTGGTATTGGAGGGAGCTTCTTAGGACCACTCTTTGTTCACACAGCTCTCCAAACAGGTTGGAACATTCAGGCTCTTCATAATTGCTCTAAATTAAAGGCTGACTGTAACCTACAGTATCTCACATTTTCTTTTACATGGATTTGCGACAAATATAGAACCTGAGGCTGCTGAATGTGCAAAAGGGCGTCAGCTACGCTTGTAAGTCTTTAAAACTTATGTACGCGTGAAGCAAAGAATTTTTTTTTGGACATTCATGTATCATAGATATGTATCATATGTATCATACATACATACGTAAATCTTTGTCTGCATCTAAAAAACAGGCCAAGGAGCTATGGGTTTATGGTTAACATCCAAGGAAAAACAGGGCTTTTTGTTGCTTCTAGAGCATCTCGAGGCATCAAGATGGTTAACTGAGATTTATAGTAGCCATGAACTGATTTTATTGGGATAAATATTCCTTCTTATTGGAAAAAGGTTGATATCACTCTTTATTGGCCCAACTTATGGTTCTAGTACAGTTATTCTGTTATATCAAAATAAGTAAATATGAAGAATAGCAGAATGTAGCAGATCATTAGAGCACAATATTCTAACACATTTTTAATATTGATAGGAGGTAAGGATTTTTTGGTCATTAAGTGCATATATCTAGTCTGGTCACTAATGAGTTCTTGAGCAAACCTAAAGTCTGAGGCTGCTGATGATAGAAATGCAATAAACTTTTATTGGCTTGCATGCTTGAAAACATCTCTTGATAAGATGTATGAATGGCTTTAAAGCTGATATTACTAGTGTAAAGTTCCAACATTCCCACTCATACGATGTCTACTGTTGTAGGGCCTAATGCGTCCTTTAATTTCTTATGCTGCAGTCTGGCAAATGTTGATCCAATTGACGTTGCAAGAAATATTACTGGATTGGATCCTGAGACTACTCTAGGCAAGTGTTATTAATATGCTTTCTCTAGTCTTGCTACAGGCTATTTATCAGTTAAAGTATTGATTTTTCACTTGGTAATGTAGTTGTTGTTGTATCGAAGACTTTCACGACTGCTGAAACCATGTTGAATGCTCGAACACTAAGAGAATGGATTTCCTCTGCACTTGGGTTAGTGAATAATGCTCAAATCATATTGCAATTAAGCTTTATAATTTAAATTCTGACTATCAAGGTCCGGATTAAGCTGGAGCCAGTTAGCTAAATGTAGCTAACTATGCAGATGTTTTTTTTTTTTTTTTCTCCTTGGAGGGGAAGATTAAAGCTAACAATTGTTATTGAAGTTGAACCTCCTTGCAATCTGTAGTGCAAATCTAGCCACCAAGGTCTCTGCCATTTCCACACTCCAATTGTACCCACCATTCTCTTGCTGCCGCTAACACCAGTGCACAACCAGAGTTTCTTACCTCAACGCCTAAGCCCACATACTCGCCCTCTATAATATGAGCATCAAAATTAAACTTATACATACCTGATGGAGGCCAAGGTCACCAAAAGGCAGAAAGATATAATAGAAAAGTATCATTCTACTTCTTTGTGGCATCTTGGATAAGGCATCCAACATTTGGAATCAATGTATTTTCTGATGGTTTAGTGGTAGTGTGCTATTGCACAACTAAGTCTTATTACTGTGCCATTCTTTATGCTGAAATCTTACTTTTAGATCTTTTTTCTTCCCCTGTGGTCTAATACTTGCATGGTTATACTGTTATTGCAGGCCTGCAGCTGTTGCAAAACATATGGTTGCTGTTAGCACTAATCTAACGGTGATGCCATCTCTTTTTGAATTGGGCTTTATGTTTTACTTTCTTTGTTTATTCTTTGTCATATCTTACTTTAGGGACAATAGTTATTAATTTGATTTCATTGCTACTTTGTCTGATTAGAATTGGATGTGAATCAAATTGTTACAGTTCTGAATATTTAATCTCAGATAACCGACTCCATGTTTTTTAATTCATGCCGTTTTTCAATTGAAGAATGGATTTTAATTAGTCTTTTGTTTAAAAGGAAATTCAGAGAAGAATTACTGTCTCTGTGCATAGTACTGGGTGTACTGGCACTGAGCAAGTGTCAAAGTTATCAATATAAAGAAAAATTCAATTCTATCTAGAGTGACCTCTCTTCCACAGTTCCAAATATATTTCGAATTTGAAGACTTAATTCAGCTCTCTGTAACCTCATGACTTTTCTTTCTCTAAATGCAAACAAATCCCATATGATTGTTTGTTTATGTAACCTGTTGGTTTTTAATTAGTAAGTATATAAAAAGTGATCAAAGTAGCATGCTGGCTTATGCCGTGACATTGAGAAAAAAGGGTGTTGGGGGTGGGATGGGGGCAGCATGGTGGAAAGGCTCCAAAGTTGTGAGAAAGGGCTTCTTGATAAGATTGGTAGTTTTGGAGCTTGGCTTGCATATATAGATGTAAGCATGCATATGGTAAAAAAGGGATTTAATTTATTCATCATAATTTGTTCATTTTGATGGAAGATTGAGGGGTATGAAACATAAGTTTAGGAAAACGTGTTGGTCTAACAACTATGTATGCGCAGACACAGAAGTTTTCTATAAATTGATGAAACAGAGTCTAATCAGTCTGGAGACCTCCCACTCATGATGTGGTTTTGTTTTCCTTGCAGCTTGTCGAAAAATTTGGCATTGATCCTAAAAATGCTTTTGCATTCTGGGACTGGGTTGGAGGCAGATATAGTGGTAAGTGTATTTATAATTTCATGTAAGATTTTATCCCTACCTTTGAAAAAGTCTGAGATAACTCTTATGGATAGTACTTAGACAGTTATAACCTCTAAAATATTTATTTATATACTTGCCTCATTGCGTACATTTACAACAACAACAACAACAAAAACAAGCCTAAGTTGCGTACATTTATACCCCTAAAATAATTTGCTTACATATATTCCCTCGTTAATACTGTCAATAACTAAATTTGTAATATAAGGTCAAATTGAAAGAGTTCCCCTAACATGGCTAGCTATGGCGTGCGCGCATTGCGCTCGTTAGCCTTAGCCACCCTAGTTCATATAAGTTTCTAATGATGGATTTCTTCTTTCAGTATGTAGTGCAGTTGGAGTTTTGCCTTTGTCTCTTCAGTACGGGTTTTCTATTGTAGAGAAGTATGTTACCTTGCTCATATTTTCTTATTAGTTGTTTTTTATATAACATAACTTAATAGTTAATAATTTCTGATCTTTGGGTTGAAGGTTTCTGAAGGGAGCTTCAAGCATTGATCAACATTTCTATTCTGCACCCTTTGAGAAAAACTTACCGGTAACTGCCTACCTGCTAATATCCTTATTCAATTTCGTTTCTGTTTTCAAGGATGTGCTACTGGCTCGTCATTGCTTGATACATTATGTGATTTATCTGCTCTTAATTGCTTGGCCAGATGGTATATTGCTGAATGTGATACATGTGTACATTTTCACTTTTTTTATTTTTTTATTTTATTTATTTTTATTTTATGGATTAGGCTATCGTAGGACTTGTACTTCTGTTGTCTAAACTTCTTTTCATGTCTGGATAATGAGTCATGCATCAAAGTTCTTGTAACTAATTGCTATATCATACATGATGCTATTACTATGTGCTTCAGGTTCTTTTAGGTTTGTTGAGCGTTTGGAATGTTTCATTTCTTGGACATCCAGCAAGAGTAAGTGTTCACTGTCTACTAGAAGTACAATAAGTTGTGATTGGATTTCTGACTTGGATGTTTACAGCAACTGTTACCATAACGGGAACTTGACTGATGATTCCATATTTTTCAACATTCAGGCTATATTACCATATTGTCAAGCATTGGAAAAATTTGCTCCTCATATTCAACAGGCATGTATATCACTTCCATTTTTTTTTTGTAGCAATTAATTCATGTTATTCATCTAATTAGTTAGTATTTCTGCTCCTTGGAGTTCAAATTCTGTCTTTAATCAACACTCTTGAGTTGGACTTTTCATAGGTTAGCATGGAAAGTAATGGAAAAGGTGTTTCAATAGATGGTGTAGTGCTGCCTTTTGAGGCTGGTGAAATTGACTTTGGTGAGCCTGGAACAAATGGACAACACAGCTTTTATCAGCTAATTCATCAGGTTATACAATCTATATTATGTTGTATTATTATATTGGCTTAAGTTTCAAAATTTCATGAATATTTTTTATCATTACGTGCTTTATCCAGTTCTGTACTTCAATTCATACTCTTGTTGTTGACTGTGCTCAGTAAACATGAATATTGAAATCGAGTGTCATTGCCTGTTTAGGAACATGAAATCCTGGTTTACCAGCAACATGAAATGTTGTGATAAAGCATCCTTATTTACCAGCAATCTTTTTCTAACAAAAGTGAAACAAAAATTGGAATACATTCGAGAAAAATAATGAAATATCGTGATAAAGAGAAAAAAACGATTGATTTGATGGAAAGAAGAACAAGAAAAAAAATGTTGCATATAATCCAACATAGAAGTTCAAAGAAATTTTAGGACAGCCTAAAAAGGTAGAAATTTGAGGGATGGAGGCTACAAAAGTCAGTTCCCCCCAGTGGCCATACTGTATGAAAGCAAATAATTTTCTGGTTGACAATCTTGATATGTCAATATTACAGCCAAAGCTTCTCAGGTTTTTAGGGGGCAATTTCAGTTATTAGGTATGGAGATGTTCATTAAGACAGTATAATTGACTTTTTTCTTTATTTTGATGTTCCAACAATTAAAACTTTCCTTGCTGATTGTTTTACTTTCTCACTCTGCTCTGCTTATTGAATTTCTTCTGCTTTCTTGCTCTTAACTTTTTTAATTGACTTTTAGACTTTTAGTTAAGAGAATTCATAGATTAACATATAAGTACCATAATAAACAATGTCTTTGATACTCCTGGTTTTGTTACTTCAGGGACGTATTATCCCCTGTGATTTTATAGGAGTTGCAAAAAGTCAGCAACCTGTATATCTCAAAGGTACGGAACTCCATATCCGATTTTAATTGTGTCAATGAGCTTTTAATTCCATTCAATTTTATAGAATGTATTATTATGTTGTGACTTTTACCTTCATTGATGGTAGCTTATATATTTCAGGTGAAGTAGTGAGTAATCATGATGAGCTCATGTCTAACTTCTTTGCACAGCCAGATGCACTAGCTTATGGGAAGGTTGGTTTTTATTTTACATTGGGAATTAGATCCACTTTTGGCCATACTTTCCATAACCCCTTATCAAACTTTATATCTTCTCTCAAGGATTGTACTTGTTATATTTATTACTGATTTTACTTGAAATGTTTTTTAGTAAATTATCATAGATTTTATTGAAGTTGTGTCATTCATAGATCTAGTGTTCTTGTTTTCTTTTTGTACAAAGTATTGTAAAAATTACATCAATTATCTTCTGCTCTCTTGCCTTAAAAAATTTGTCACACTGTTCAATACTTCAATTGTGGACATTGTGGTAATGGTTGGTTAGCTAATTGTTGTTCTGTTTCTTTAGACTCAAGAAGAGTTGCAGAAGGAAAATGTATCTCCACATCTTGTCCCGCACAAGGTGAATTTTCTGTTCATGTTTCTGTAATCTTTTGAGGTTGTGACACTATCTTTTCATAATTTATTGCCATTCTTCTCTTGCAGACCTTCACTGGAAACCGTCCTTCTCTGAGCCTTTTACTTCCATCTCTGACTGCATATAATGTTGGACAGGTTTGATGACCTTACCTCTTTCTAGATATATTATTATTATTATTATTATTATTATTATTATTATTATTATTATTATTATTATTATTATTTTTTACTTAATTTGTTGTGATGTTGGACAACTTGGATAATGTTGTAATCAGTTTGTTAATTGTTGATCCAGTAGGATATTTTAAGCATAAATGTTTTATAATATCATGATTTAGCTGTTATTTATCTTGCAGTTGCTGGCCATCTATGAACACAGAATTGCAGTTGAAGGTTTCGTATGGGGTATTAATTCTTTTGACCAATGGGGAGTTGAGCTAGGAAAGGTAATTTGCTTGTGTATGACAGTTATTATGAGGCCATTGTATTGGCAATTTCAGGTGTAAACTTTTGTGAGATCTTCCGTTTTTGTTCCTTTTTTTAGAGTTTAAAGTTTTAAGTTGATTTCCTCTCTCATTTCTCCCCAAATCGTATTTCTGAGTACCTAATTACTTTTATGTTAATGCAGTCACTGGCAACTCAGGTTAGGAAACAGCTTCATGCATCTCGCACTAATGGAGAAGCTATCAAAGGCTTTAATTTCAGTACTACAACAGTGTTGGCCAAGTATCTACAGGTATAATAAGTAACATGCAGCTAATATTTAGTATATGCCTAGTAAGATTCCTGTTTATTAAACGTAAGTGCTATATGTGGCTGAGGTACTCAATTCTGAAGTTGTAAGATTGTAAGAAGCAAATACATGCAATTAATTGCCCACAAGTCCCATTTAAAGCTGATACAGGCAATTGTATAGTAGTCTCATTTTTACTCAAATATTGTTGGCATATGTCAATGATTTAATATGAGAGTGTTTATAAATACTTAGAATCGTGATCAATAATAATTCATAGTAATCATGTAGCATGACTATGTACTGTGGTAGCAGCCATGCCTTGTGATGTGGGGAAGGATTGCCAAATTAAATTCAGCACTATTGCAATAGAAGATGCTACCTGAGTATAAGTCTGAAGAAGATATACAGAGAGTAGAGTAGAGGAATGAAAGCAATCTAGCATTATGCACACTGCACATGTTTAGAGAAATTGGGTGGCCAGATGCTCTATTTGCCTGAAATGAGTGATCTATTTCGTCTCCTAAAGAGGCCGGGACTTTGTTTATCACAGTTACAGAGTTACTATCATCATTTGTTATTCATTAGACCTGGACAGGAAATTCTTCTGTTGCAAAGGTCTAATTTCAAAACATAAGGTCTGCTTTTGGGATGATGGAACAATAATATGATAACTACAATAATGACAGGAATGGTGAAAGTGTTCTGATTTGGAAAAACTTTTAAAAAAATTATAATATAATAAAAATATATAGAGAGAGATTTCCTATTGAAAAAGGAAAAAAAATCATCTTTGTTTTTCCACAGGATATTTTAGAAAATGTTTGGTTTATGTATTTCTTGTTTTATTTGTAATTTTGTTGTGTCCTTTTCTTTACATCGTACAATTCCTTATGACGATTTATGTTAGCCAACCCCAAATCATATTGGGACTAAGGATTTATTGTTGTTGTTGTTGTTTGGTTGATGCATTTTTTCTTTTATCTGTAATTATGAAGACAGCTTGTCGTCTATCTGTACTATGTTCTGTGCATTTCTACTTTTTTTTTAAAGAAAATTTTAATCATCGTAGTAGATGATTATATGAGGATTGGCAATTAGTTGTGGAAACTCTCACCTTCAATTGCCTCTCGTCTTCATTTTTCATTCCTTTTCACCTCATCTCCCAAAGGTGCCCGGTCGTTTGTAAGACTTATGCTATGTGAAGCAGACCTGGTACAATCACATAGGTTTTGGTATTAACACTCTGTTGTAGTGTTGGGTATTCTATTGTTAAATATAGGAAAACTTGATATTTGATTGATGATGACCTTTACAAAAGATAGCTTGAGATATTTATTCAATTTTAGTTACTTTTAGATCACCACTCTCAAAATAGCGACTTGAGGTCACAACTCTCCTTAGGATTCACTTCAAAAAAAACTGCCTACTTTTTTCCTTTCCCCTCCATATCTATTTATACTAAAATTAAAGAATGTTGGCCTAATAATACTAGAATACCCCTACTCCCCCTTCTTAGGTTAGATTATTACAATGTTTTACAGAATGAGTAGGTTTTGTTGCTTGTGGCATTTACTCCTCACAATCTTACTTCTATAGCATTGTAAAATTTTCATTGGGATATAGGAAAAAAGTGAAATAACGGAGTTCAGTGATGAGTGGATGACATGCTTTTGTCTAGCATGATGTCGATGCTTGACAAATAGAAAGGCTATGTAGGGTGGTTCTGAGCTTTGTTTTTCGAAGACTTCAATTCTAAACTAATTTCTACTACAAATTACCAGAGGTTATACTACTTAGATCTTAACATGTATATTTCTTGCAGGAGAGTTCTGAAGTCCCTGCTGAGCTTCCGACCAAGCTACCACAGGTGTAGGCTTGCAGCTCACTTGCTTTGAACATGCATGTCCCCATTTTGTTTGCCAACGACCTCTATTTTGAAGCTCAGAAATAAAGTCTCCTATGAATCCTTAATAATCAGATTTCGAGCTGGCATCCAACACCTATGAGTTACTGTGAGACTACTGTGACAGTTTATTGAAGGAATGGATTGCCAGAAATGGTTGTATTTAACTCTTAAGCAACACGGAATAAATAATGAGTTACAAGTCCAGCTGCTTTGGCATAAAATGCAATTCAGCTTAACTGAGACTTCGTCACTTTTGCCAAATTGTTGTGTCTGATGTTCTCCTTAAACAAGTTTTAGCTCTATTTTCATGACAAGTTATAGAAGAATGATGTACTAGTATTTTCATGTATGAGGGAATGAAGAACAATAAATTTCCTTCTTTGCGTGTTCAGTGGCGAATTTAATGCTCAAATTCTTGAGATGATTATCTTGAAATAATGAATCTAGGTCTGATTTCTTATTGCAGCCAAAGAAGGAAAAAAGTTGTAGTGAGCTAAAATTGATATTCCTTACAACTTCTAATAAGGATCCCTTCTAATAAACTAGCAACAATCCAGACTATATTGTCTTCCCAGAGTACGGTTCTATAGACAAAGGTGCATTTTGTGCCTCGTTCGTGTGCACAAGATATGGCTTCTTTTGGTGCCTAGTTTCATCGTTTCTAGTTCGGTTATCAAGGATAATAATCAAATCATATCACTAATATATCATTTCAATTATAAATTTATAATATATATTAATAAAACAAAATAGAAAATAAGTATTATAAATAATTTAAGTGCAATAAAAAAATTTCAATTTAATAATAAGAATTTAAAAATTAGGGAAAAAAAAAAGAGGAAAAGTACCCAATAGTAGGCTGCAAGTAAGGGAAAAGAAAGAGTCAACACCTGAATTGAGTTGTTAATAGGAAAAGTTAGTGAAGGTTTTGTCAAACAAAAAAAAGAAGTCATCATGGTGTTTTTTTTAACAAAGATCTGCTTAAAAGGATTTTTTTTCTTGCAAAACAAGGCATTTAAAAGGTTTTTTTTTAACAAATTTTCCTATGACATGGGTTTTCTAGTGAACTTTACTAATGTAGTTTATACAATTAAGTATCTATTTGATTGCTTTTGTGCTATGCCCGATAGGGCTATGCAAATGTACACGAACCGATTATTCATTGTTCTGTTTCGAAAATTGGGATGTCTAACCGGGTTTTTCATTTTTGGATGATCTATAATAACCTATATAAATATGCAAATTTGCTGAATGTTCATTGATCGGCAGTGTAGTGATATTTTATGGTTTTACCTTATTATTGCTCAGGCATAACTAGATTACAGTAAACCTTGCCTATAATAACCTGTATAAAGTTTATGTTGGCATGATTCTGTTGCCCATACAACAAATGGAAGTCGAAACACGATTTGCAGAGTCTAATGACAATAATTATGCTCGTTTCTCATATTCTATAACCAAAAACAGCCCGCGGAAGTAGTGATTGTTTCAGTACTAAACAACTGAGAATCCGAAATTCAAAACACCTAGCTTGAAATGCAATTTTCAACCAGTGGCGAGACTGGTGACCTAAACTAGTGAGGCAATATTTGACACTTTCGGAACAAATGTATAAACGAAGTTAAACAAGCACAATAGAGTAAACGAGTGGCGAGACTGGTGACCTGATATATGAGGCAATATTCGGAACAAAAGTGTAAACGAAGTTATAGAAGCACAATAGAGTAAGCGACATTGGTAAAAATACTCGATTACGATGATCAGTGCTCTACCATGAGCCATTACTAGAATACCAAGTTCAAAGGTACAATTAAACTAGTAATATACGCAAAATGGTTCACAGATTCACAGCATTCAGCAATTTCAATGCTAATTCCTAAGCCAGTTCAAACACCAGTAGAACCAAACCCACCAGCACCCCTGACAGTAGAGTCTAAATCTTCGACCTCGAAAACATCTGGAGTTATAATCTTTTCAATGATCAACTGTGCAATACGATCACCTATTTTCACCTCAAAATCGACATCAGAGTGATTGAACAGGATAACCCCAACTGGTCCTCTGTAATCTGCATCAATCACTCCTGCTCCCACATCAATGGAGTGTTTCCATGTCAGTCCTGACCTCGGTGCTGCAAATGTTACAAAAATTAAACAGAATTTCAGAAGATTTGGATCATGGTTGAATTGAATGTAGGCAAATAAAATGTGCCATTTAATTAGGTTAAATTTGGGCAAAATTGAGAATTTAAAATAAATACCAATTGAGGTCCAATTCCAAATACATACAATCATTATCAAACAAAACGTAAATCAAATTGGGAATTTTCGTTTATACCAAAAGAGGCAAACAAGCAGTTGAAATGTTCGTTCTATCAAAAGAGAAGCAAGAAAGTTTATCATGCACACAACATGTTCGACGAAATGCTTCAAAGAATAACAACGGAAAACAGAGATGTCTTCAATCAAATTATCATGGGTATTTTCTGGGAAATTGAATGAGAGAGAAAAAACTTACCAACTCTGGCGTAAGTTCCTTGAGGAACAGCAATACTCAAATCAGTAGGAACCAGTGCTTTTCCTCTAGCAGGCACCTTCAATTCAACCGCACTGCAAAACCATTCAATAATTTCCCAGATTAAACAAAAAAATGGGGGTTTCAAATCAATAATATTATCCTAAAGAAGAGAGAGAAACCTGGAGAGATCGTAACCAGCAGCAAAAGGGGATCCTCTAGAAGGAACAACAGCCTTATCTGAGAGCTTCTTGACCTTGAAGAAAGAGGATTCATCGCCATTTTCATGGGGTTGAAGCTTTTGAAGCTTGGTTGAAGGTTCCTTGATTTCTGGGCTTTGGGTGTTTGAGTTGTTTTCTGCCATTTTTATGAGTTTGTGATGAGTGAGGCGACGATTACTACGGAAAAGAGGGTTTTGCAGTTTAAATAGGGTTTGGGTTTGGGGAATTTATTCCAAATTATGGCGCCAATATTTCCCGCCATTTTACCTGTATTTTTCGGAGTAGTTGGTGTGTACCGGTTTTAACAAAAACGGATACTGATGAGTTGTTGTTATAGGGGGCATAGGGATGACCGGCCGAGCATTTTCGAAAGCCACGAAAATTGTAATCTCCGATATTCAATTCCAATTTGAAATTTTTTGATATTTGATTGAGTATAAAGTACGGAACCTTGTTAAATTAGCTTATTAAAGAATTAACTTTTATTTATTACATACATTAAAAGAACTACTTTACCTATTTTTTTTTTAATTAGATGTATCGCTATTTAAGAATAAAAGTTTCAAATTAAATGTAATACTTTTCCTTTTAATTAATAAACTAGTTTGGGCTGGATGATCCCAAGTCAAAATTTCTAATGTCATTTTTTTTAAGTGATTCAATAATACTCTTAAACTAGTTTTTAAACCAAATTATCTCTAATTTTCTGTTTTCTGATTTGCATTTAGATATGGGGTACAAGTATTTTTTAGGGATAAATCATGATTTTATTTTATTTTTTGACACAAGGGATAAATCATTATTTTATTTTATTTTTTGACACAAGGGATAAATCATTATTTTATTTTATTTTTTGACACAAGGGATAAATCATTATTTTATTTTATTTTTTTACACAAGGGATAAATCATTCTACTATTCCATGTTGGGGTATTTGTAACTTTATAAAAAAGATGATGGGGTATTTGTAAAATAATGTAGGTTAAAGAAATACAATAAGAAATCGGAGTACAATTAGATGTTGGATTGAACCAAACTAGTTGATTTATTTGGGCCAATTAAAGACCAGGTACAATTGGTTTATATGGCCCAGTAAACTTGTCCAACTCTTACAGGCTTACCACATGCAATAGGCCCCCTAGTTCACATAAATAACCAACAAAACCAAAAAATAAAAAAATAAAAAAACAAAAAGAGAGAAAAGAAAACACAGGTCGAAGCTAGGGAATGGCCGTTCACAATTTTTAGGGTTTTTGAGAATTGGGGGAACTCGAAAATTAGGTTAGTAATTCACTGATTTTGGGGTCTAGGATTGCCAAGTCTAATACAGAGTAACATATATGTAGTATAAAGATCACTAATATAATTCACAATAGTTAAAACTTAGAGCAAGATTAGCGCAGTCTCATCTTAAGACTTTAATCCATTGCCACATCGGCTTTTTAGATTAAATTTAATTATTTTTCTAATTTATAATTATATTAAGACTCCTTAAAATTTATCTTTTCAATCAATTAGACTCATATTTTTATATATAAATTAAATTATTAAAGTTTTTTAAAAATTAAAATTATATTAATTGAATGTTAAATTGAGTCTAATGTTGAGTCTTGAATTTTCAAGACTGCATTTCAGATTTTATTAAGACCAAACTTCATAAATGCTTAAAATAATCAAGTCTTGTTTTGTGACTGTAAAATTAGAAATTGATGATATCATCTAGAACCTTAACACATAGGACTAATCTTGCTCATATATGCAAATGTAATATGCGCATCATAATTCAAAAGTAAATAGCACTTTTATGTTTTCTAAAATGCATTCGTAAAGAACATGCATGTAATATACGAGTAAGGAAAGAACTTGGCAAAAAAACTTATCTGGCAAACATATAAACATTATATTTAAATAAGAAATTTGTACTAATTTTTTTAAAAAAAAAATTATTTTATTTTTTTTACATAATATTTAACTTGAATTTTGTACTACAATATTTTTTTTTTTATTTTTTTTTTTGTCAGATTGTACTAAAATAGTTTATAACATGAAAGATGAAACAAAGAGAGTATGAATATTCTAAACTAGTTTGTGAGATCAAAGACGATGGACTCTAACATAAGATCAATTCATCCTAAAATTTAAATTAATGGTTAGAGCCCTATGATCGAGTCCAATACTAAGCTCAATTCTTTTCAATAAATTATTAATGGTTAGATAAGTATAATGTTTTACCCTATTTTATAAAATACAAATTGTGCACCTCAAAGAGAATAAAAGAAAGATGAATGGTCCACTAAATTGAACTTGACTTCCCAACCATAGAGAGTGACACTAGCAATGTTGGACAACATAATGCTCAATAAAATTATTATTATTCCAAAAACTTAACTAATGTATACATCAAAGAGAATAATATAGTGTACTACACTACTACCATAAACCATAGTAGTAGTTGTTAGAATGTTTATCTAAGGCCGCCTAATGATGTAACCATGGGTTCTTTTAATTGATTGGACCATTACTATTTTAAAATTACAATTTACTTTATAATTAAATTATATTATCACATTGCTTACTACTAGACGTCAACCTAATATTATAAGAAATAAAATTTTAATTAAATCCATATCTTAATTTTCTATTTTTGGCTTCTTGATTCCTTGTCAACTAATATAATGAACAAATGCAAGTTGCAATTGTAAATAAATTATTCTAGAAATGATCAAGTTCAATATGACAAAGCTAAGCTATATATAATTGTCAATATTGAGTACATGTTTTGTATTTTCTACTCTAGTTTGGAATAAAGGAGGCATCATTTGCCGCAAAAACGTAAGATTGAATTCGACACATTGTCATTATAAGAGACTACTTTAGATGAGGCTAGAAGGGTCACGACACGTTGAATTACGTTGTTAGAGTTATAGGTAGAACCGGTAAAGATGTACAGAGAAGTTTATAGAGAGGTGGAAGAGAGTATAGGCGAAAAAGAAGGTTTTGGATCGACATAATTATTGGTGGCCGATGTTATAGGAGAGTGCAAGGGGCATGTATGAGAGAATTGTTTGGTTCTAAATATGGTGGAACCAAGAAAGTAACCTAAGGATAACAAAAATTGTTGAAGGAAATGCTCAAGAAAAAAAGACACAACTTTTGTACCCAAGGTGCCTGAAATTGCATGAATCACCATATTTCAGATAATTGTGCAACTTGACCAGGGGTTCATGAGCACAACTCATTCACGTCATACATTCAAACCCAAAACACTAAGATCCATGTAGATGAAATAGGAGCTTGCATAATATCATATTTTATTCCAACATAAAAAAGGGTAAAAAAAAATGTATAAAATAAAAATAAATTCTAACAACACATAAGATGCACCAAACTTAAGTCCCTCGACAACTTTTGCCATACTTCCATCATAAGTAGGAATGAATATATCACTCTCCAATGACACAAGATAATCTAGTGCAGCCATCTGAGATGAGTGATTTTGAAAAAATCTCAAGTCTGCGGGATTCAATAATGTCTCTTTCCTAACCTGTTGTGTTATATATGAAAGGAGCATGAGAGGTTATGAAATGAAATTAAAATAAAATAAGAAAACAAAAGTAAAAGAAAAGGAAAATGAAAGGAATTTGAAAATAAAAGGGAAATAAAAAAGAGAAATAAAAGAAAGAACAATCGAAATTAGCTGCTTCTTAACAATGGGAAATAATCCCATGCTAACCACAACACATCACCCCAAATCACACACCAGCACAACCGTTCGATCATAAGCTAATCAAGATCAATGGCCGAAAATCAAACCAAGAAGTGCGCGGCCGCGATAAATGGCTGCGCGCCCACGTTCGAAAGGAGGCAATGAAGGAGTTATGTCTTTGCCGTGTGCAATTAATAGATATATAAATGGATCAAATTATGGAGATAATTAAGTTCGTACATTTTGGTCGTCGTTTTATCATAGCTAGAGGTACTAACGATCTTTGGACTACTAAAATAAGCCAAAACCCAAATTGGACGGATCCTGTAAGGTCACACAAAGGGGTTAGGTCGAGCATTAGAGGACGAGGCCCATCATGGGCCTTATCACTCAAGGTGGTCGGCCATATGGAGTGGATAAGAGAGTTTTGGGCTTCGTGCCATAGTCTAAATATAATGAGATTATAAATAGACTTGGTGCCTAGAAACACCTAGCTATATTCGAAGTTGCCTTCGCCCTAGACGTGAAAGGTTTAATTTCTGAGGATTTGGTCCCAAATCTCTATTTCAATTATTTAATTTAATTGTTTTGTTTATTATTTTCCTTGAAGTTACTAACGTGTGTATTTTGTTATTAGAAAGAGGTACGAAGCATCAAAGTAAGTGCTTTAATGGTTTTTATTGATGTTATGATGTAGAGTTCATGTTTAGATTGTTATTATGATTCCTAGTATCATGTCTAGGGTAAATTTAATACTAAATATGATTGTTACGATGCTTCCTATGTTCTTCCTAATAATATTTATGATTGTTAGTATCATGTTAGAGCTATATATTTGATCTTTGATGTTTAGTGACATGCTAGGGTTTGTTATTAATCTTGTTAGTATCATGCCTAGGATCTTGCTATTATAATGCTTTAACATGATTATTTTATGATGATGATTATAATTGTTATTATAATAAATAACTGTTATGATTATTATTATGATTATTCTTTATGATTTATGATTATAATTGTTATAATTATTGTGATGATTATTATTTTTAATTATGATTGTTGTGATTATAATTTTATTATTTTGATTATTTTTTTATCTTGCTTGATATATTTTTATTGCTTGATCACACCTTTTTATGCATGTTTAAAGGGAATTGGTATTTGTAATCACGCTTAATAAGATAATTAACGATCTTGTTTAGGGTTAATATGATTATAATTCAAGTGATCGCCAATAATAGATTTGTTTGTGCATTAAATTCAACCAACATAGATTAAACAGGTTTAGGATTAATCCTAATGATTGCATGTTAGTCAAAAAGTGCACATGAATACGATCAGAATAAAGTAGAGGTCTATTATAAGGGCAGGTTCAATCTCTTTTAGGTTGGATTTGTACCTTCATCCCCGAACCCTTATTTGGTTCAAGACCTTATGGAGTTGACGATCTCTTTGATTGTTAAGGGGTGTAACCTTCACCCTATGAACGGTTT